ATTCCACTCATAGTCGTGTCCTTTAGTCCGACAGAAGCTGGCCGCATCAGTGCAAAAGGAGCAAGATGTTTTTTTGCTTTTTTTCAGAGCTTACAGTTTATGCAAATGCGCCATGTGGTTTTATGTTTAATTTCTAACAAATGTGGCAAAGCTGCATTAAACATATTAATATCATGGTTGTTTATTTTTTTTATGGTTGTTTATTTTTTTTTAGATTTAAATATATAATTTTTACACTTGCAACCATCCAACAATACAGTATAGTTCTGATGCTGATGTATTTTTTCCTGCTACCTGCTTGTCTCCATGGAGATATTATTGCTTTGCCTGGAATGTTCCATGATATGACAGTAAACATATCCATCTCACATTTATTCATTACAGGTGTTTCCTTTGCTCAAAAATACAGTATTTTCTTCTGCTTTTCTCCATGGAGATGCTGTTGCTTTGTCTGGAAAGTTTCAGAGTATGGTTTTAAACTCTTCTATCATCATGGAGACCAAAGCAAACCAAGTTACAGGTAAAATCTGTGGAAAGGTGACCCCGCTCACAGTCAGATTGTATGCTTTTCTAGGTGTTTTTGAGCAATAAAACCACTTGTAATTGAATAAATGTAAGGTAGAGCTGCTTAATGTCACACTGTGGAACATTCCAGGTAGAACAATGACATATCCATAGAAACAAGCAGGTAACAGACCCCTAACCAAGAGCTACAGTCTCTTTCAAACGCAACAGCTTTGAAAAGAAAACACACAAAGTTCACCAATGTTTCCATTTTCTAAGGTAAAGTAGCAGCATACACTTCAAATTCCTGAACAGCCCAAATGTGGTTACATAAGATTCCAGTTTTGGCCCTGAGTCATTGGTGTTCCATTAGCTCTACATGGCTAATATTCCCAGGACTATTCCCATTATTGATAACTTACACCACAGATAATACCCATCCATTGTGTTAAAGGGAAAGACGCCAGCAGAATAGTATTGTAGCGAAAGGGCAGGGCTGCACATGGGGGGTGTCTGTCTCTCTCTGCCCATCCTCACATGGGACATTAGCTAATTATTCACACAAAGAGAAACTGGCTTACTTACTATTTTGTTAATCACTACGGCAACGGTCCCAATTTACATCACTTGAAACCCGTGGATCGGATGTTTTTATTCTCACACTTCCTTGTACAAAAACGTGGGAAAGAGCTACAGAGAAATATAACGATAACTACCTAAGGCTATACTTCTAAAAACTTCATGTAGCAGTGGTAGTAGAAGTAGTTCTTGCTGTTGTTGTTTCAGTAGTTGTAGTAGAATCATAGTATTAGTAGTAGTAATGGCAGTAGTGGTAGTAGTAATGGTAGTAGTAGTAATAGTGATAGTAGTAGTAGTAGTACTAGTTGTTGTTGTTACGATGTAGTAATGGTAGTAGTAGTAGTAGTAGTAGTAGTAGTAGTAGTAGTAGTAGTAGTAGTAGTACTTGTTGTTTCAGTAGTAATAGTAATGGTAGTAGTAGTAGTAATAGTAGTTGTAGTACTAGTTGTTGTTGTTAAAATGTAGTGATGGGTGGTACTAGTAGTAGTAATGGTAGTAGTAGTAGTAGTACTTGTTGTTTCAGCAGTAAAAGTAATGTGGTAGTAGTAACAGTAGTATTAGGCATAATGGTAGTAGTAGTAGTAGTAGTAGTACTTGTTGTTTCAGTAGTAATAGTAATGATAGTAGTAGTAGTAGTAGTAGCAGTGAGTAGTAGTAGTACTTGTTGTTTCGGCAGTAATAGTAATGGTGGTAGTAATAATGATAGTAGTACTAGTAGTCATGGTACTAGTACTAGTAGTAGTAATGGTAGTAGTAGTAGTAGTAGTAGTAATGGTAGTAGTATTAGTAGTAGTAATTGTAGTTTATATTTTCTTATAAACGGCTTACTCACTACTAATTTGTTAATCGCTATGGCAACTGTCCCAGTTTTGTTCACTTGAAACCACAGAGTGTATATAATCTGTATATATACTTGTATACTAAATACAGTCTATGCTTGAAACCTGTGGATCAGATGTTTTTCTTCTCACACTTCCTTGTACAAAACCGTGGGAGAGAGCTATTCCAGTAACTTTTTAAAAGTAGAGTTGATGCACATTAGATCTGATGACCGTATTTAGCTCATAATATTTGGGAACTCTGTATAGGCGATCTGTCACGATTACACATTTTGAAGTATGACACAGAGAGAGATATACTGCCATAAAAGATCATTTTGAAACAACTATATGCCGAATTACAAAAACAAACAAACAAAAACAAAAAAAAACCTGTAGCAGTAGTAGTAGTTGTAGTTGTAGTTGTCATTGTTTCAGTGGTAATAGTAAATGTTAGGACTGGCTATCATCCAGAAGTTGCCGATATGATACATAGGCCACAATACGATACATATCTCAATACAGTGCACTTTTGATTTGATACGATACATTTCAAATCAATTCGATACGGTTTAATTAAAAAAAAGTCTTAATCATGGCTGTGGCACTAAAACCACTTCTTGTGCAAAGTTCATATGAAACACTCCCAGTTTCATCCTCAAAACAGTGAAAATGTCAAATTTCCTTCTACTGAACGAACAACAAAACTGTTGCTCTGTAACAAAATTATTTAGTAAAATATGCCTAAAAATACTAAAAATACTGTATCATCACATTAAACAATACGATATATCAATATTTCAATATTTTTGCACAGTAAATGTACTAGTAGTAGCAGTAGTAGTTGTAGTCTTTTACATTTTACTCTTACAAAGAGGGACGATCACTCACTACTATTTTGTTAATTGCTACAGCAACGGTCCCATTTTGCATGACTTGAAACCTGTGGATCAGATGTTTTTAGTCTCACACTTCCTTGTACAAAAAAGGAGGAGAGAGCAGGAGAATATTAGATATTATGCTATTTTTTGATCTGTGTTATGGGACTAAACTGTGTCTGAACCAGGTTCAATAAGCCAGGTCTAAGCCAGAACTAAACCAGGACTAAACCAGGCCTAAACCATGACTGAACCAGAATTAAAGCAGATGTAAACCAGTATTAAAATAGGTCTAAAGCAAGTTTGAATCAAATCTAAACCAGGTCAAAACCAGATCTGAACCAGGTCTAAACCAGGTGTAAAATAGGTCTAAAGCAGGTTTGAATCAGATCTAAACCAGGTCAAACCAGATATGAACTAGGACAAAAACAGGTCTAAACCAGGTATGAACCAAGAGTAAACCAGGTCTGTACCAGGATGAAACCAAAAGTAAACCAGGACTCTACCAGGGCTGAACCAACTGAAACATGTCAGGTAAATAAGGAATGCATTTTACACTATTTGCACAAGTTGTTAAGTTAGTTTGTTATAAAAAGAAGATGAGAAGTAACCACTCTTAACATTCATTCTTTTACTTTATACACCCTGATTAGTTTGTATTGAGTACATCATTCTGTCACATCATTTTGGTTCAGATAGAATCTACTAACAATCTCCTTTTGTTGATAATTTTACTTACTTTAACTTTTTTATGTAATTTTAACAAAAACAAAACAAAAAAGCAATGGGGATAATTTTTTTTATTTTGAAATGCCAACACTTCATCCTGAAAATATTACAAGACAATTTCAATCATATTTCTGATCATTTTCTCAGGAGGCAAACACTTTGGGGGGTTTAAACTTCATTAATCTGAACTGCAAATTCAATGATGATGATTAAGATTATTTATTGACATGACTAGTTTCATCATTTCCAATAAAATGCATGTTACACAGCATTTGGCTCTTATAACTTAACTTATGTCATGGTCTGTTGTGACATTCAGTATAAATTAAATGACAAAAGTACAAAAATTACAGATTGTCAATTTTCTCTTCATATATTAACTCTCTGTCATTATTCCATTATTGTTACTCTTGGCACATTAACATAGAATAATTATTTCATTTTTGTGCTTGCTCAAAGTTAATCACAGAGGTGGGTAGAAAAGCCAAATATTGTACAGAAACTTCATAATAATATTTAGATGTTTTTCAATCAATAATTGTAGTAGTAATCGTAGTCGTAATCGTAGTAGTAGTAGTAATAGTAGTAGTAGTAGTTGTAGTAGCAGTAGTAGTAGTAGTAGTAGCAGCAGCAGTAGTAGTTTCAATAGTAGTAGTAATAGTACTAATAGTAGAAGTAATGGTACTTGTAGTAGTAGTAGCAGTAGTAGTACTAATAAAGCATAGTAATAATAAAACTAAGTACTACGCTAATAAACAAAGTGTATTAGCATAGTACTAAAAAAATCAAAGTTTTTACTCAAGTAATAGTACTGCAATTGCTACTCAAGTAAAAATACTGCTACTTAGTTCTAGTATAATAATAAAATAATATAGTATATGTTATTATATGATCATATATGTTATGTTATAATATTATAGTATGGTAATATTACTGCTACTATTTAGTGGTAGTGTCATTAGTAGCAGTAGCAGTAGTAGTAGCAGTAGTTTATGTAGTTCTAGTAATGGTACTAGCAGTAGTAATCATAGTTTTTACTCAAGTAATAGTACTGCTACTTCATAATAATATTTAGTGGTAGTTTCATTAGTAGTGGTAGTAGTATTTAAAAAGAATAAAGCAGTATTTGGAGAAATTACTACTCAAGTAAAAGTAATTATAACTGTCTGAGATAAAATCAGATTTATAATTTAAAGTTAATTTAATTGGAAGAACAAAAATAGGGAGCAGTCCAAGATCCCAAATGTTCAATTAATTTCATATTGTCAACATAAAGCTTTTGTCACTTGTAGACTTACTCACAGTGGAATTAGTAACCACAACTTTTACTCAAGTAAGAGTACTGCTACACTGTAAAATATATTACTAAAGTAGGAGTAAAAGTATGGAGTCTGAAAACTACATCATTAAAAAGTTACTCAATTAAATGTAACTGAGTAGTACCCACCTCGGTTAAATCAAATATTTCTTTAATTATTTAAAACATGTTGTGCATAACTTATCTATTGCCTAAGCCCTATCTGAAAACATGTCTGAAGAAGGGTGAGGCTAATCCAGGCTTCTCTTCCCTCTGTAAATAACTGAAAAAGAAGAAGAAGAAAAAAAAAAAAAAACGACATAGATTAGAATTTCAAAAATCAGACACTAATCAATACTAAAACTAATACTGAAACAAGATACAGATCTGAACTAGGACTAAAACAGGTCTAAACCAGGTATGAACCAAGACTAAACCAGGTCTGGACCAGGTCTTAACCAGGTCTGTGCCAGGACTAAACCAAAAGTAAACCAGGACTATGCCAGGTCTGAACCAGCTGAAACATGTCAGGTAAACAAGAAATGCTTTTTACACTATTTCTACTAGTTCTTAAGATAGTTTGTAATAAAAAGAAGATAAGAAGTAGTAGAAAAAGAAAAAAAAAACACATAGATCAGAAAATCAGATACTTATCATTACTAAAACTAATATTGAAACTAGATACTCATTTAATAATAATAATGCATCAGTTTTATATAGCACTTCTCTGGACACTCAAAGATGCTTTACAGAGCATTATTCATTCACTCCACACTTGATGATGCTAAGAGTAGCCAGAGCTGCCCTGGAGCAGACTGACGGAAGCAAGGCTGTCAATCTGTGCCATCGGCCTCTCCGACCACCACCATCACTCACACACACCACTTTCATACTTTCAAGCATGGATCTATTAAATTGCTTTCAAGTAGTTTTCAAGTATAAGAGCATATAGACTACTCTGGTCCATAAGTGCCATCTAGTGGAGAAAATCAGTATTTCAGGCTGTGTTGCAAACTTACTTGAGCTCAGACCGCCGTCTATACACATCACTGGAACAAAGAGGAAACAAACAAAGAACACATTAATATAGCAGCACTCTTTAAACTGAAGAAAAGTTCTAATGGGAATATTATAGAAGCTATTACAGTATAATAATGTTTCACTGGGATGTAGGATTTTGTTAGAACAGGAAAGTACAATTAAAACAAGAATAGTTTTTTATTATCCAACCTGGACCACACTAAGGGTCCTATATTATGTAAAAAAATGTGTTCCCTCATCAAAAACATACCAGGAGGAGTATTTTGTTTCATTCAGACATGCTGTGTTCCACCTTGTGATGTCATGAAGCTTTAGTTTTCAAATTAACAGCTACCTTTTACCTTTTTTTCAGTAAAGATTGGCAATTCAGGGGCTGAAATAATCCAAATTATTCTAGTGAAGATGTATGGAGTTTAAAAACACAATGGAGCACTTCCTGTGTTACCACTTGACATCACAAGGTGGAACAGAGTGTTTTCTGTTAGAAAGAAGCCTAAATATGCAGGATTTGTGTGTTTAATGTATGATTGAAAACAAAAATAAAAAGTCTGTGTCTGTTTTTGATGAGGAAACAATATCGTAACAAAGATCAGAAAATAGCAAAATGTGGCCTTTCCAAGACGGCTCAAGTTCGACTCAGCCTCTGCAGCTCAAAGTGAATTCTGAGGGTTTTGAGCTTGAGTTTCAAAGGACACATGGTCTGTCCATATACTGAGAATGAGAAAAACATGCATGTGTCCTCTATCTGCAGATTATGGCACTGGTAACGCAGGCTCAGTTTTGATTCTTACCTTTTTAAAACGATAAGAACGCAGGCTACATACAGTTCCTTCAATGTTACAAAAATTTCATAATTGATTTTGATACTTACTAGGGCATCAAATATTACTGTTACTTATTTAGAATGTATTATTACCATTTATATTGTTTCTCTTTGTTATTATAATATATTGTGATGTGTGAGCTACTGTGTCCAGATAATTTCCCTTGTGGATAAATCAATTTGATTTAAGTCTAAGCCTTTTCCTTTGTATCGAAATCAAGTTTGAAACTGTAGTATAGCAATAAAAAAATACAAAATACTAACAGTAATTGCAGTAGAAAACTAGTCTTTTACCCTCATATTGTCTCTGGGGGCAGAAGTCCTCCGTGCTGCCATCTGCTGAGACTGGAGCCACCACTACAGTGTACTCATCTCCACACCGTACGTTGGCGACGTCGCAGTACTTGACACCAGGGAGAGCTGTGCAGTTGTAATTATTGCCTGTCCCTTCCATGGTCACCAGTGTGCGGTGGGGGGGCCCTGAGGAGGAGCGCCAGGAAACCCTCAAAATGGTTGGGCTGGGCCAGTAGATTCTGACATTAGTTGGACAACATAAACCTGGTACAAAGAGAGGGGGTTAGTAAACAGAAAGGTAAGTGCAAAGAGAAAGGTCATATAATCATAGAAAACACAGAAGCAGCGCCACTGTTCTGAGTCTATGGCCGTGTCTCATTTCTCTTTCTTTGCTACTTTCTTGATTCCTCTCCTTGATTCTGCAGGAAATGGGTGAGGAAGTCCCGCCCACAGAGACACAGCGAGGAGAGAGGATTTAAACTGCTCACTGACACCAATAAAGTTTGATTCTTTTCTCTGGTGTCTGCCTCCTGTAGCCTCCCTCACGTTTACTCCTTCCTTCTGTGGTTTTCTTTGGGACACCACTTAATATGACACATTTGATTGACAGCTGAAAAATGGAGGATCGAGAAGAGGAATCAAGGAGAAGGAAGTGAGGAAAGAGAAATGACAAGCGGCCTCAGGAGCGTGGTCTGACAAATCGGCTGCCAATACAACAGGCGTGTTTTAAGTCTCGTCTTAAAATCCACTTTTACTCTCTGTGTTGTTCATTTAATTTTGAATTAGATTTGAATTATTTTATATTTTTTTGCTTTATGCATTTTAACACTTTCTATATATTGTTTTTATTTATGATTTACTCTCTTTTATGGTCTTAATTTGTCTGTGCAGCACTTTGGAAACTGTCATGTTTATAAAATGTGCTATATAAATAAAGGGGATTGGACTGGAATACGAGTAGTAGTAGTACCTTTAAAGGTGCACTATGTAACTTCTACAGGATATTCCCAGGTTTGACTACCCCAAATTTTAGACCTTTTTTAAAGACCTTTTTAAGACCACTTTAATGAAAATTAAAACCAACATTGCACCCATTATGCGGGCGAAGAACACCAGGTCTAATTCTAATAATGACCAGCTAACTACCAGTATTATATCTAGAATCAAAGGCTATGTTTATATGATGACGGTCCTAACAGAAGACATAAAAGTGGTGTAGCATCTTCACTTTTTATTCCGCGTTTTCGGGAGGAAATCTGTGTGCATACGGTGATACAAAAGTGTGTGGAATTGGATTGGGTATGCATGTCAGGCGGCTCGGTGGTGACTCTAGGTGGTGATGTATGTGACGTAAACGTGTGACCAGAGTTTTGCATCTTGGGCAGTGTAGACGAAACTGATTATTTACTCATTGCTGCCGGTGCCAAAAAACAAAGCATTGTTTGTGCATAAAATAGATGTTCATTCACAGTACGTTATTTTACTTTTTTTTTTTTTTTAATGTTGTTGTTTGTTTGTTTTTTACCCTCCCTCCATTTAACATTGCACTGCAGCCCGGTTGAGTAAACAAAAAAATAGGCTAATGAAATTTATGACCTTTGTGAAAAAATTTAACTTGGATAACATAATTTAAGACTTTTTAAGTCCTTCATTTAGGGAACATGAAATTTAAGACCTTTTTTAAGACTTTTAAGACACCGCAACTACCTGATCTAAGGTGGAGGTTCCATGGACATGTTATTTCTATGCATGGGATGTTGCACATTAGGGTAATAAACATATCTGTTTTGCTTTTGTTCAGTTACAGTTTTATAGCTCAAAAATATCTTGAAAAACATGAATTCTTATCATATGCAGTAGGGATGTAACGATATCCAATGAACCTCTCGGTACGATATTTTTTGCGATATCGTGGGAAAGCTCACGATATGGTGGGGAGGCTCACAATTAGGGATGTAACAATATCCAAATCTCTCGGTACAATATTTTCACACTATACATCTCACGGTACGACATTTATTGCAATATTTTGTGAAGGCTACCAGAACTGTTATTATGCTACTTTTTCCTCTTAAAATGCCTTGACAAGACTTAATCCAAAGAACTAAAACTTAAAAGTGCTTAAAACTGTTATTTCTTCTTGTAGTCTACACTGAAATGGAGCACAGGATCATGGTCTATATAGTTCCCTCTGTCTTTTTTTTTAGCTATTGCTGCATCATAACTCTTAACTTAAGCAAAGAGACTTGTCATTTGATATATTGTGATGGTCCACGATATTATTGTGAGAACTTTGACGATACAATATCACAATATTTCAGTTATTGTTAAATCCCTAATATGCAGGCTTGCTTCTTCATAGATCTGACCATTAACCTGTCTCTATTGTAATTACATAGTTTATTTCTATACTGTAGAAGCAAAACTGCAATAGGCAAAACAGTCAAGGCAAAACAGTAATATCTCCAAAAGAGTAATATCTCCATGGGGACAAGGTGTTTTAAACATGTCAAAACTAAAATTGTTTTTCAAAGCTCCCTTATACACTCACATTTCTTTATATTGTTCCATATACTGTTTGTAGGTAAATAGTGCCCTCTGGTGGGCGAGTACCTACTTGTATTTGTATTGTGTTGGGTGATGTAGGCTTGTGGGCTGAGCCTTGGATAGGATCGTACTGCTTACTGTAAGAAGGGTTTGAATAGGGCTCAGGAGACATCTCTAAAACATCTTCACGCATGTTTTTGGTGAGGGAGCGACGTTTTAACATGGTAGAAAGCTCCAAAGTCAACATATAGACCTATAGAAGTCCCAGTCAATTGCATTGAGCACATGACTTACTGGAGGAGAAGCCATCATAGGTGCAGGTGGTCTGGAGCCCGCTCAGGCTGTACGCTTCCATGGAAACGGTGTAGTTGGTGCCGCAGGTGATACATCCCATAATGCAGTGTGTGTCCTCCGTGTGGCAGCGGGCGTGGCCTTTGCTGGAGGTCAGAGTGGTGAGAAATGTGTGTGCCCCTTTGGCTGCTGACCAGGATACATTGGTCATAGCCTGAGTCACCTGCTTCACCATCAGACTAGCCGGACAGCACGGTTCTGAGAAAAGAAAGAATATGACAAACTCCTCCGTAAAGCTGGACACATGATCGGCTGTGAGCTGAAGACATTTGTCACAGTGAGGGACAGGAGGACACTTAGTTTAGTTTCTAAACTTCTGATTCCTACACTAAAGTTATGTATTGTAGTGTTGTGCTTTTCCTTTTCCAGATACTTACACAACTTAGAGTTGCATTTTACATTAAAATCCTAGAATTTTCCTTTGAGGTGGGATTTGACCCAGTCTCACACAACCATAGAAATTACATCCAAATCCACGGTGTTGTGAATTCTGATTTGAACTCTGAAAACTACTTCTTAAACTGAAAAAAACTATGACAGTGAAATAATAATAAATAATACCAGCTAATACTCCCTACAACTGTACAACAACTCACACTTATAGAATGGAATGCCTTTTACTATACACATGTACAATCAATCCACACTATACACATGCACAACAAGACTAAAAGCAACTCACTCTCCAGGGCAGACATGCAAGTGGGATACTTACACACGGTACAAAACAAAACTAAAATAAATAAAGACTGAGTTACCCACTTCTACAACTCTCAGTCAAGCAAGATATTGCACTCTTTTAGATATTGCACTGTATTCAGTATTGCACTGTATTTAATATTGCACTGTATTAGATATTGCACAACAGGTGGATGAAAGGAGATTAGGGGATCGAGGGATAGGAATGAGGGGTCAGTCAGTGCATGCGTGTATTCAAAGTGGCCCTGGGAAAGGGCCATAACCATTATGTAATTGATAATATATTTTGTGATGTGTGAGCTACTGTGTTCTGTGTTCAATTTCACTTGTGAACCCAAGTATTCCATATCAGGGTAAAGAAATGGCAAAAGTGCAAACCAGGGTTCTAAGCAAAGGGTGGTTATTTTGTAAATGTTTTGATCTAAAACATTATTTAGTAAGTTATTTTGAGTTTATTTCTTGTTTGCTACATTCCATATGTGTCCATTCATAGTTTTGATGCCTTCAGTTCAGTGAGACTCTACAATGTAAATAAACTTGGAAATAAAGAAAAATAAATGAAAAAGTGTGGCCAGACTTTTGACTGCTGGTGTAGATCGGTGGCTCACTTTCATCTGTCTGCCCCTGAGCAGCTGAGGTTACTGTGGCTATTTGATCATGCTTTAGATATAGTTTGTAACAGTCTAAGCATCGTTTACGTTATTCTTAGGTTACGTTACGAATACGTTTCACAGCTTGCATGAACATCCAAACTGCTTCTTCATTTCTGGTCAGACACTGGTGGCCACTGCCTTGTATCTTGTATCTACCTCTAGGAAGGTAGCTAGCTACACTGAAACTACTCTATTTATAGTTTCTGTTGGTGCTAGAAACAGTGTCCACTTTTGATATTGGCCCTACCTGGACAACTGAGGGATTTTACAAACATTAGTACCACAGGTTTGAATATCTGTCCAGACCATAGACTGTATAAAGAAATGGACTAAGTGAGTCTGACATCAGCCACAGCGTTCAGCTCCAGTCAAATGAAGTTTGCAGTGCTGGAGGTTACAGGGGCAAATTTGGAACCAGGCTCTTTATTATGGATTTTTTAACAGACAAAATAACAAAGAAAAAAACAAACACAAAAACAAAAAAACACCAGCATCATGTAGAGGGTTAATGTGAAAATTTTAACACCAAAATGGCAAGGCTCACTGCAGCAGTTACAGAGAGAGGGTTACAATATTCGAAACGTAAATCAATTGAAGTCAGAGGCAGAAGGAGCTGGAGCAATGTGGTGGTTAGCTATGTCCATTTATATATACAATCTATGGTCCAGGCCCGCTCACCTGTCATCAGTACCACAGGTTTGAGTATGAACCCAGGCCTGCTCACCTGTCTCGTACTGCTCAGAGTAGCTCGGCAGACTGTCTCCTATGGCGCTGTTTGCTGTCACGGTGACGATGAAGTTGGAGCCACATGGCAGGTCGGTGATGTCACAGCTGGTACTTCCTGTGTTACACCTGGGGTTGTTGTTGACAAAGACGGCGTATGTGGCGATGCGGTTGTTGTTTGTCCAGCTCGCAGTCACTGCACTAGAGTTCACTTTGGTCAGGGTGAGATCAGTGGGAGCACAGGGAGCTGGAGAACAAGAGTAAAAGTTAAATAAAGAAGAACTATTGACACTTTGCAGCTGATGTCATCAACATTCCCTGGGTGTGTGACGCTAACTGTAGACACTGCTCTGTTTAAAGCTCTGTAACTAATTTTAGACTTTAATCTGAGCTTTATTTTAACACAATCTGTCACATTCACCTTTTTCATAAAAATCAAACACCTAAACACTTGTATTGATCACAGGCTCCTGAAAATGTTTAGTTTAAATTCATTTTGTATTTTTGGTGAGTTTTCAGACCATCTAAAAACTCTTTTGACAGTGTTTGCTAATATGTGCACTGTGTCACCATGGTAACTGGTGAACATTCTGCCAATACACACAGATTTAGAACACCCCCATCTTAATGTCTCAATAGGAGTTGAAGTCATTCTCTTATCTTCTATTATTGTGAAGCAGCTTTCAGTTGCTTGTGCTGTATAAATAAATTTGCCTTATCTATTTAGTTCCATAAAACAGCATTACAATTCCAGCAAAATACAAAATAAAATAATTCAAAAATGGTGTGGCCAGAACAGTGATACTCATCAGTGACCAGACTCACTTTTTGTATAGTATAGAAGAGTGTATTCTGGATCCCAGGCAACCTAACTATAGCACTAAGTTACTTTGGGTGTTACAGTAAAAATCAATAATTACAAAGGAATAAAAATGAACAATAGACCCTTTAAAAAACTTTTTTAAATTCCTACTAAATTGGGGAGTGGAGGCAAAAGTAAATTTGGAACATAATGAAATTTCAATGGGAAAACTGGGATTAATTTCAGAATATCACAAAATATGGAAAATCTGGCAAATGAAAACCTCTCTGATATCAGAACTCAGTTTAAAAACATTTACAATTGTGTTTTATGTTTTTCACAAATTGTTTTACTGGACAAATCCTTACAGAAAAATTGAGTCCACTAGTTTTTCACTTCCTCTACAGATTACAGATTACACATTTCATGATAAATTATTGTTTTTGTGAAGCTGAAATACAATTTTAAGTTAGAAATTTGTTTTTTTTCCATCCTTCTTAACAGAAAAATGTACTTTGGGAATTCAAAACTGTTGTTTATTTTATCGTAAAACCATTTGCATTTTGATTTGTTAATCAGTTAATCATAGAAAAAATATGATGTCTGCTTCACTTCATTCCAGAATTTTGAGCACTCTGATGACACAGGATTTTAAAGGGGCTATATAAAAGGCACAAAAAGCAACTGTCAAATAACTTGTATTAAAAGGCCTATATTACAGCACGCTGTTTTCTGATCGCTGTTATAATGTTCTTTCCTCATCAAAAAAATACCTAGAGTTGTGTTTTGTTTAATTCACACATTTTCAACACAAACCCTGCATATTTAAGGTAAATTCTTCTCTCAAACAGAAAACACTCTGTTACACCTTGTGATGTCATAGGGCCGCAGTAACTCAGTTGGTAGAGTGTGATCTGAATGTATGGTGGTTCAAATCCCGCTCTTGACATAAACATCATTGGTTGAGCAGTCAGATCAACCTTGGGCAAGACACCTAACCCACTTCGCCTCCAGTGCCTGCGTTCACTGGTGTGTGAATGTGTGAGTGGCTCCTTGTTGTTGAAACGCTTTGAGTGCCTTGAAGGTGGAAAAGCGCTGTACAAAAATGTGACCACTTGTGGTAATACAGGAAATGCTTCACTGTGTTTTCAAACTCCATACACCTTCACAAGAATCATTTGGATGGGCCAATGAGGTTCATTTGGTCTTCTGATATTTTATGTTACTAGGTCCTTTTTTAGACCTAGAGTTTCCAGAGTCCAGACACGTCACAGCAACATCACGTGACCACTCTGAGGAAGACTGCTAGTGAGCAGTCGAAACTGTCAGGTATAAAACAAAACTCTAGGTCTGATAAAAGAACCTAATAACATAAGAATCATTTGGATGATTTCAGCCCTGGAATTGCCAATCTTTACTGAACTAAAGGTAAAAGGTAGATGTTAACACAAAAACTATTGCTTCATGACATCACAAGGTGGAACAGGGCATTTTTAGCTTTGGAGATGTAGACACTAATAATAAATGGTTACTCAAGTGAAACTAAACAAAATGCAACTACAGCTACAAGAATCCATTTTGTGTAACTTTATCCATTTTTTGTGACCTTTAAAAGATGCTAGTGAATATAGGTGAGTTTTTAGTGTGAATTGAAAACTGTGTCACCTGTGTCTTGAGTGTGGGGGATGCAGTTATGGTTGCAGCCGCTGATGTCATTGCATGGGATGACTTTGATGTTGTAGGGAGTATCACATTCGAGGTAGGACAGCACACAGATTGGAGCAGAGTCATTACAGAGGATGGTGTGAGAACTGTCCGCGGCTCTGGTCTCATATATCTCTGCCCCTCGTGCACGCTCCCACTCCACCTCCAGAGTCTGTGGGCTGATCAGGGACACATTCACCGAGCTCGGACAACATGGCACTGCAGGAGACAGAGGCAGATGATGATACTTTGCAGCTCATGTCATCAACATTGTCTGCGCAGGTGAGTCTGTGTCTGTCTGCAGAGATGAGCCTGGATCTGTCTGCTCAGGCGAGTCTGGGTCTGTCTGCGCGGGTAAGTCTGGGTCTGTCTGCACAGGCGAATCTGGGTCTGTCTGCACAGGTGAGTTTGGGTCTGTGTGTGCAGATGAGTCTGGGTCTGTCTGCACAGGTGAGTCTGAGTCTGTCTGTGGAGGTGAGTCTGGGTCTGCCTGTGTGTCCCTCAGAAAGCTTTCTCTGCTGTCACCAGCATGTGCAGTCCTCACAGTGTATTTAGCCTCTGGTGAAAGCAAAGACAACTGCGTATAGTACAATCAACCTGAGTATACATATTCACAGGGGTCTGTCCACTTGAAGCGCGCTGTTATAGAAATAACTTCAGCTATCAGCTTATGGACTATGACATGGCTCATGGTGTGTGTTTTGGGTAAATGATACATGGTGTATGTGAACAAGAGCGAAAAGTGAAGTAAACAGAAGTAAATCTAGTGCATACTGGGGTCGGTCCACAAAGCGCACTAACATATGTGAAAATGACCTAGGATGTAACTAAAGATAGAGGATGTGCTGTTTATAAATGTTTATTTTTCTTCACTGTGATTGGTTAAATCCACCTGTCACTCACTTATTTTAGTGTAACTTAGTATCTGGGTATGAATTTTTGGCCATTTTGCTGCCTATACTGTATAACTCATGCATATATATCTGTACCTGTGGTGTAGTTGATCATGGATCCTGGCGGACTGAATCCTGCCCCATTCACAGCAAACACAGACATGAAGAAAGTGTATCCACATTCACAGGAAAAGTTGCAGCTGGTGCCATTCGTGTTGCAGACCGTATCTGATCCAAGGCCATTGGTCACTTTGGCCTTGTATCTGTCTGCATGAGACACTGTTCCCCACGAGAACGTGCAGTGTCCTGGTGTCGTCTCGGCAACAGTCAGGCTCGAAGGTGGACAAGGGACTGTGGGGCAAGAAACAGCTTTTATGGCAACATCTGTTAAAGAATTGTATTTGTGTCTGCTATATAGTTATAATCTATGATAACCATGGATTATTATGTTATAATTTGCACATTTTAAATGGCAACATTCATCTAAAGCTACTTAAACGTAACAAGTCTGCTGCCCAATGGGAGCTGCCTTCGCCGTCATCACAACCAAGGGCTGTGCAGCTGTCGACACCTGATGGATAGCTGCAGATGACACTAGCGAGCAGCAGATTTTTTTCATTTGTACCAAAATGACAACGCAATGTTGCCGAATCCTAAATGTAACAAAAATCAAATTGGAGAATGAAGTAAGTGCAGAGCTGTTCAGAAAAATAGAGTCTTAAAGATAAGCTCTTAAAGACAGCTCAAACATGCACACATCACTCCGCATACAACTTTGAGAGTTTAAATGGTGAAGGGAAACAACTATATAACAAGGATTAAAAGGTCTCAAGTCTTCTTCCAGAATAGATAAGGTTTATTTTTCTTAGTCCAATTTATCATAAACACTTGATGAGATTATCATCTTTTTTTCTTTACTCAGCTATCTAGTATTGCTTTTCTAAAAGCACGCTATGCAACTTTTTCACCAAGGAGAAGTTATTGCTTTGTCTAGAATGTTCCACAATATGACATTAAACTTTATTACATATTATAGTACATATTTTATTACAGGTGTTTTTATTGCTCAAAACATCTTTGTAAACAAGCATTTTAAATGTGAGAGGCATCACCTCGCCACAGACTCAATCTTGGCATCATGGCATCACCTGCTTGCCTCCATGGAGATAGATGCTGAATGCCATACTGTGGAACATTCCAGGCAAATGTCCCTTAGTCATTCAGGTAGGATCCATAGCAAAAGAAAAAGAACCTGACGAGAACTGAAGAAGCAGCAAAATCTATTCACTCTAAGACTATCCTGTTGACAGAAGTTCAATTTCTTTCTGCTATTCCAGGCAAAGCCAAAACATCCAAAAGAAAAGTTACATATTGCACCTTTAACTGAAACTTGACTTTCAAACCCATCTTTTGAGTGCCTGTGTTAAAGGTACACTGTGCAACTTTACTAGTAGAGAGTCCTTCACCTGCTTGACCCCATGTTGTTTTTTTCTGAAATGTTCTACAGTATGGCATTTAATTTAACTATAACCATGGAGACAAGAAAGCCATATCACCAGACCAAGTTAAACATCATATCTGTGGAGAGAAGGACCCACTGTTTTAATAATAATGCAAGTGTTTTTATCTAGTTTTGAGAATTAAAAACACCTGTAATTGAATAAATGCAATATATAATTGTTTAATGCCATACTGTGGAACACCCCAGACAAAACAATAACATTACCATAGAGACAAGCACATGGCAGACCCTCCATCAGAAAAGATACATATTGCGCCTTATTGCTTTATCTGAAATGTTTCACAGTATGGCATTACATTTTTTTTTATCATCATGGAGACCAAACTAGACCAGGTTACTGGTCACAGTCAAAATGTTTTTTTCTAGCTATTTTTGAGCTATAAAACCACCTGTAATTGCATATATGTAAGGTAGATCTGTTTCATATCAGATTGTGGAACATTCAAAGCAGAGCAATGACATATCCATAGAAGCAATCAGGTGGCGGACCCCCAACCGAAAAGTTACACAGTGCACCTTTAATATACGTACCAGTGGTGAAGCTGAATGGGGCGGAGGGGATACTGGGCCCTGCGTCGTTGTGAGCGGTGACCTCCAAAGTGTAAACAGTGCCACAGGAGACAGGAGACAGCTCACAGGACATGGATGTAGAGTTGCACTGAAGCCCCAGAATATTACTGCTCACACTGTACCAAAATGGACCATCTAAAGCCAATAACATCTCCCATGACACAGACAGCCCCAGGGAGGTGGTGTTAGTTGCCATGGTTACGTTCACAGACTCTGGGGTCGGAGGTCCTGACAGAGAGAGGAGGCAGAGAGATGGGGTTAGAAAAGAGTTGATATTGTGCAAACTGTACATGACATCTTACTTCGCTTTCATGTTGTGTTTTTATTGCACTGAAAAACATAGAAAGGCATGTGTCCTTACTTCAAGTGGGCTTGCATCTCCACAAACCTGACTCTTATTTAGCCTAGAATGGTCCACAACCTCTGTTATCATTGCCTGGCCAGCCAAAAGAAACCACTTCAAGTCAAAGTCTACGGTACCAAGCTTTGTTATGACTGAAGGAAGATATCTCACAATTATATGTAAAGTTATGTTTGGGTTTCAAAATATCTATTTTATATATCTTATCGTCTCTCTAGAATTCAAAGGATCTGCCTGTGTTCTGTGCTGAGATATTTAGGTTTAAAGGTACAGTGTGCTAGCCTGATTCATCAGTCGGTTTCACTTTGTAGAAACCAGCAGTGTTAGAATTTGTTTGCTCGACGGTAGGCGGGTACTTTTTAACATTTAAGCAATCGCTGCTATTTGGTAGTCATGTATGTAATGCGCGGCCAATGGGTCTAACTGGTATATTAAGCTTTTCCCAAATCCTGTAGGAAGAAGGGCAATAATGTCTTTCCCCTTGATGAATTTCACCAAACATTCTCTTTGTTCTGGCTTTGAATCCTCGATCTCAGGAATTGTTGATAACACTGAATATATGGCTCTTCACTGATTAGCTGGTGCCCGAACTTGCACTTCCGGGGCTTTTGCGAGCCGTCTAGTGTATTTTGATTCCTGACCTAGTTGCTGGAGAGAAATGAAATTGAGCGGAGGCAATAGGTGGCACCAGCCTGGTTAGCAGTGCACAACTTTTCTGGTGGAGGGTCCATTACCTGCTTGTCTCTATGGAGATGTCATTGCTTTGCTTGGAATGATCCATGGTATGATATTAAACACATCTATCTTGCATTCATTCATTACAGGTGTTTCTATTGCTCAAAAACACAATAATTCTCTCTGTGAATAGGTTTGCCTGCCTCTGCACAGATCTGAGCTGTAAAATAGCCTATAGTTGTCTGCCTTGAGATTGATAGGCTTAATCTCCACCGTGGAACAGACAAAGCAATAACATCTCCATGAAGACAAGCAGCCACCAGGAAAGTTGCGCAATGCACCTTTTAAGTTTTGACCACTTGTCCTGCAGAAATAAAAGAGTATGTACATTTATCTGATACATGGAAATAAAGGGTGCCCTTATAATCGAATGTGAGACCTTTGTGTAAGTGGGTGTCTTTTGCCATTAGAAGCTTTTAATTCTGAACATGAATTTGTGTTCTCTGGTCAACTTTTTAAAGCTTGCATATGTAACTTTTTGGTCGAGAGTCACATGTCATTGCTCTGTCTGGAATGTTACACAGTATGACATATTAAATGTATTAAACAGCACTACTTTACATTTATTCAGTTACAGGTCGTTTTATTACTCAAAGATAGATAGAAAAACAAGCATTCTGACTGTGAATGGATTTGGCCACAGATCTGACCTGTAACTTGGTCTAGTTTGGTCTCCGTGAAGATAGAAAGATTTAATGCCATACTGTGAAATATTACAAACAAAGCAATAACATTTCTATGGAGGAAAAGACTGTGACAGACCCTCCACCAGAAAAGTTACACAATGTGCCTTCAATCCAAAATTCATATTACTGATTCATTAGTTTTACCATACCGCCCACTCCCACTTTTACTTCCCCTGCTCTTTTTAGTCTCTCAAAAAATCAGTTACTTACTTGTGCTCTGGGTGGAATTAGCAGTCTCCCCTTTGCGTCCCTCTATGTCCCAGGCGTAGCAGTGGATGTGGTACTCAGCTCCCATATCCAACCCGCTGAATGATATGTTCAAATAAGTTGTGTTTTTGGTGATTGACTCATTATAATTTAGGTTTTTTCTGAACAGATTCACTGTGTACAGGACAGCACCAGGAATGTCGGACCACCTCACATCGATGGAGTTGTTATTTGGAGAAGAGCTGTTAATCTGAGGAGGAGGCAGTACTGCGGGAAAGACAAGAAAGGCGTTTATTCAGTTTTTGTAAGTGTTTTGTAAGCTCTTAAAACAGACAACTGAGGGACTAAATGGAGGCTCTTTGTGATATTGCCAGTAGTATTTTTAAGGTTTTAAGGTATTAAAGGGCCTATATTATATTCTGAGCTGTTATAATGTTGTTTCCTCACCACAAATATAGCTGGAGTTGTGTTTTGTTTCTTCTACAAATGCTTAACACACAAATCCTGCATATTTAGGCTAGGTTCTTCTCGCAAACAGAAAAAACACTCCACTGTGTTTTTAAACTCAGTACACCTTCACTTGAATAATTTGACATGATGATTTCAGCCTTGGAATTGCCAATCTCTACTGAACTAAAGGTAAAAGGTAGCTGTTAACTCAAAAACTACCACTACAAGTCATCACAAGGCGGAAAAGAACATTTTGAGCTTAGGAGATGTAAAAAAAAAAGTAAAAATAAAGGGCTCCTCAAACATGTGTGAATGAAACAAAACACCATTCCAGTTTCTGATGAGGTAACAACATTCTAACATGACGTGAAGTTCACAAGAGTCAGTTTTGCGACTTCAGCAGCTTCAACATTCATATAAAACATATTTAAGGTTGAATTATAATATTTATACAATATTTACACTCTTGTCTAGACTTTATTGGTCAATTTTGCTGAATGACTGATGTAAAGAGGTGAAAATGTCTCCGTGAAGCTGACTGTGTGTAATGCTTATCTAAAGTCTTTCACTATTGTGCTTCGACTCCCACGGGAGATACACGAGTCTATTGTTTCACAGTGGCTGCAGGATCCTCACTGAAGGTGGTAATAAAAATCCATGTTACAGTCCAACAGAGACCATCCCCAGGACCTCTCAGTATGTACGGTAACCAAAGAAGACCCATTAGGGGCACACACAAAAGAATGACCCCAAACATACAGTACCTGTGGCCCCCACCCCGACCTCCAGTGGAAACTGATCCAAATGAACCAAAAACACAAACTACAGCTCTAGGACAGTCAGTTTTACCAAGAGATCGACCGCTATTAGGTATGGGACAAGACACAATTTTCACAAGATGAGAATAGATACAAGATATAAAGTTTCTACTTACAAAATACACCAAAAACATGAATTTGTGTTCCTCTGGTCAACTTATTTAAAGGTGCCCTATGTAACATTTTGGTTAGGGGTCTGTCAACTGCTTATTTCTCTGGAGATGTCATTGCTCTGCCTGAAATGTTTCAAAGTATGACATTAAACAGCTCTACTTTACATTTATTCAATTACAGATGGTTTTGTAGCCCAAAGATACTTAGAAAAACAGGCATTCTGACTTTGAATGAGGTTGCCTCTCCACAGATCTGACCTGTAACTTGGTCTAGTTTTGTCTTCGTGAAGAGAGAAAGGTATAATGCCATACTGTGAACATTCCACACAAAGCAATAACATCTCCATGGAGAACAGCATTTGACGGACCCTCCACCAGAAAAGTAACACAACACCTTTAATCCAGCATTTCTATCACTGATTTTGCCATATCGCTCAGTCCTACTTTTACTTTTTACACAAGACAAAAAGAGATTGCGCTAACGAGATGAAGCAAGACAAGATTTGAAATAATTTCCAATATATAAATTGTGCAATCCAGTTTCCAATTTTGGCCTCACAATTTTTTATTTATTTTATTTCATATTTTCGTTGCCATTCTAGTTCTGCTTTTTGGTGAGTTTCTTATAGTTCCATCACATAACCAATGTTGTCCAGTTCAATTGTAAACACATGGGAAAAAAAATCTCAATCTTTCTGACAAATTGGGCCTTTCTCCCATTTTAAATTCACATTAGTTAATGTTAAAATATGTTTGAAAGGGGACTTAGGCCCAGAAAAAGAAATCCTCGCTTTGCTTTGAAAGTTACCTGTAAAGTCACCTAGGGAAGGTACTTCCTGCTGGGCGGGGCATAAAGCAAAGCAGGTATTGACAATTAGGGAAGAGATTTCTGTGGAGATTGTTTGGTGCTTTTGATCTGAGTCACTTATTTTCTGTTTTTTGTACTTTATTTTACCCTACTCCAGATGTCTGTTTTAAAATATATTTTGTCTGATTAAAGACTCTTTTTTGTTGTTGTCTGCCTCCTACTTTGACCACGTCTGGCCAGCTACCCTACAATCTTTTGGCAGGAGATCTTATCCCATTCCTAACTGTTGTTTTTTTCATGGCCGATGCCAATAGGTTTGCCAGTATTTTTGGGCCCATTTTGATTATTGTTCTTAAATGATGTAATTTCCTACAAACTCACCCAGAGCCCTTTTAACCTCAAACGTGTAAAAGAGCTGTGTAGTCAAGTTGTGTGCAGTTATCTCTTCACATCAAGTGTTAAAATAAAGCTATATGCAAATTTTTTACTCAAAACTAAATAATGGCATGGCCAAAAATAGACCAGAGAAAACATCTACAATGTTGTTTTCTTACATTCACACATGTTTAACACACCATTCCTGCATATTTAGGCTGAGTTCTTCTCTCAAGTTGAAAGTATTCTGTTGCACCCTGTGATTCTCATGGTAATACAGGAAGCACTCTGCTGTTTGTTTGTTTTTTTAATTCCACGCACCTTCACTAGAATTGTTTGGATGATTTCAGCTCTGGATTTGCACATCTCTACTGAGCAAAAGGTAAAATGTAGCTGTTAACTTGAAAACTAAAGCTTTATGACATCACAAGGTGGAACAGAGCATTTTGAGCTTTGGAGATGTACAGACTAATAACCCATAATTACCCAAACAAGTCTGAATGAAACAAAACACAACTCCGGGTATGTTTTTGACACTAACATGGCTAAAAGTTCAACTGTGTGTAATATAGGACCTTTAAATCATTTCTTATATGCAGTGACTTTACGTACATGTCCTGACAGTGACCGAGTCGCCAGGTTGGCTGCGTCCTCCAGCGTTGACAGCCATGATAACCATGTTATAGGAGGTGTAGGGCTGAAGGGAGGGGACCAGGCCGGGGCTGGACGTGACCATCACAAATGTCATAAAGGTGTGTTTAGTGTCCACGGCTCGGATCGCGTAGGAGTCCACGTCTGGCTGTGTCACAAACTCCATTTCTAAGGTATTACTGTTTACGGCGGTCACTGCAATGATTGGATCTGCCTGTTCAGGAGCTGCAAAAAAGTGCCATAAAAAGAAATTAATCAGGCGGTTGATACAGTACTGGCAAAAAAAAACCCACTTAATTAATCCCTTTAGAACTACACTTTAATAAGCCTTAATAAAGCAGAGGAGGGTGTCTTAGTTATTGTAATAGGCTGTGAGCTACCGTGTCCAAATAATTTCCTTTGTGGATCAAAAAAGTTTATCTAAGTCTAAGTAAGTCTAAGCCAAACATTGGACTCAAGTCTTAAGTCTCACTCAAGAGTACTGTTACTTCAAATCAGTAGAAGTACAGATAAGTGGTCCAAGAAATCACTCAAGTAGAGTAATGATTTAAAATTTGAGATTAATGTAATTTTAAGGATAAAAATAAATAACACCCTCCCCTCCGAAGGTTTAACCACATTTTCACTGAACATTTAACTTTGATTAAAAATGTTCAAATGGCAAACACAGAGAGATCAAAATGATACTACAATAAAACAAGAATTCTTAGGTCAATTATTATTATTAGAATTATTAGGTCACTACATTTAAACTTGCTTAAAACAGTGAAACAATCATGGCAGGAGGTGGGAATGCGCTCCCATCCATAAAAGGCTCTAAATTTACATGTTAAGTGAGCCCCCCGATAGTGCTATACAGTCAGATTGTGTTAAAACAAAGTTCAGATTAAAGTCTAACTTAAGTAACAGAGCTTCAGACAAAGGAGTGCCTACAGTTACCATCACCCTGCACAAACACATTTTTATAGCTAAATAATTGACTCTCTCACCTGTCATCTGGTCTCCACTCCTCTTGGCTAGCACAGCCCCAGTAGAATTCTTTGCCTTAACAGTGAAGGTGTAGTTGGTGTTCGGGGTGAGATTGTTGATCGAACCCAAAACCACGTTTCCACTGTAAACTGCAAAGCCCGGCTTCGCACCAGGGGTGTCTATGGGCCTAACGTCAATTTCATACGAAGTGGCGCCAGGAAATCTGCTCCATTTAAATATTATCATGTTGTTGTCAGCATAATACACCTCAACGGTAAAGCCTGGTGAGAGAAAAAATTTTAGTATTAGTATTAGTATTAGTAAGTGAGTTTTCTCTGTAGTGTGGAAAGATGAAGGGTTTTTAATTTCAGATTGAATACTAGTTTTGTGTAGTAATTGTATTTGTTTATACAGAGACAGTTTTTTTTATGTACAAAGAATGTGTATCTATTAAAGCTACCATCTGTAATTTATTTGTAGATGGCAAATGTGAAACCCCCTCCCCTCACCTGGCCTTTGTTTGTTCAGACTCACCTGTAGGCATGGGACAATACTGAATTTTAGTGTCACGATTATAATGGCAAAAAACTGTGATTAACGATTATATCACAAAAAGGATTAAAGCTGATTACAGTTTAAAATGTTATAGATATGAATAATTATTAGGGGTGTAACTGTACACAAAAACCACAGTTCAGTACATACCTCGGTTTTGAGGTCACAGTTCGATTCATTTTCGGTACAGTATGGGTAGAAAATGCAAAACCATTTGCTGGTTGTTCAGTTGTGTGTTTATTAAAACAACAATTTGTTTTAACATTATACAAATGGGAAAATAAAATAAATGCAAAGTGCTGTATGGTAATACTAATTAAGTTAAATAAATATTCTCAAGTAAGCAACAAAAGTATGAAATAGTATAAAAAATAAATTCCTTGTAAACAAAATTTTTGAAAGAGTAAAGTTCAGCACAAAGTTTTACTCAAACTTCATGCTGGAGGGCAGGGGAGGGAGCGCCGTGCCGGCAAAAGGCGAAAGTGAGGACCAGGGCGCGACCAGGGAGCATTTTGTGAGGATTCTCGTGGTTTGGAGGGATGTAAGTAATGGCGAGGGGCATTTGTTGTCAAGGAAGCCGCCCTAAATATAAAGCACTGCGGGATGCAGAGTAGCTGCTCATGTAGTAGTGGAATGTAAACACATAAAGTGAGCAAACTCATTCGTACACAGCCCTGCACCAAACCGAATGTCCCATACTGAAACGGCTCAGCATGAATGCATGTATGGTTACACTGCTAATAATTATAATATTATGAATAGGTTCCATATTTTATTTTATTTAACTGTTATAGTATTGTACTTTGCTGTAAATGAAAATAACAAAGCTGGCACACTATGAGACAGTAGTAACAGAGATAGAATCTAGTGGTGATATGTGAGAATGCAACATGGCTGGGTCCGCTATTATAATTATGGATGGTAGGGATGGGCATGATTAGTCGATTAATCGATAATTGATCATTAAGAACTTAATCGATTACGTTAATTTTAATCGACAAACTGAATGTAGGTTGCTGTTCGTAGCGTGACTAAACGGGGGTCTGTACATGTATCTCTCTGCACTCAGAAGGAGCGAGCAAACAGAAACAGTCTGTCAGTCTGCAACGTGCCAAAGAGCAAACGCGTATTTAACAATGACTTATACAAGAAATTCCACACTTTCTGTTGCGTTCGGGACAAGTGGGAGGCCATGTGCACAGTGTATAAAGCAGCACATATGTTTCGGTGTCCAGTGAGAAAAAGCTTTGTCAGGTGAGAGTCGCGCAATGTCGATGACGAGTCCCCACCTCCCTCCCCCCGTACGGTGTCCTGGTTTTGACAAACACAAATATGGTCACACTAACCTGTATTCCACTGAGTCGTGTCGCATCAGTGTTTTTTTCCTTCGCTTAGTTTATGCAAATTAGCCATGCGGTTTTAAGTTTCGTTTCTGTGAGACTTGCGCAAAGCTGCATTAAACACATTATAATCTCAAACGGGCTGATGTGGCTCTAGAGTGGTTACAGTTTATATGTCATAAAGTTGAATTTATTTATGTAGATTAGTAGTGCAGATAGTAATAATAATGATGATAAATTTTAATATAAAAAACGTTAATGATTAATCGATAAGTGATCGTTAATTCTCCCGACGATCGATTAAGAAAATTTAATCGAATGCCCATCCCTAATGGATGGTAGCTTTAAGGCTGCAACAATAAATCAATTAATCGTGATGATCATTAAAAAATGATAGCAGTCATATTTTGATAATCGTTAACTGGTACAGCCTTTATTGGGTTGACTATGTATTTAAAGGTGCATTGTGTAACTTTTCTGGTGGACGGTTCATCAAATGCATTTCTCCGTGCAAATTGCTTGTCTGGAATGTTTCACAGTTTGATATTAAACATTTTAATCTTCACTGAGACCAAACCAAACCAAGTTACCGGTCAGCTCTGTGGAGAGGCAAATTAGTTTACAGTCAGAATGCCTGTTTTTCTAGGTATTTTTGAGCTATAAAACCACCTGTAATTGAATAAATGTAAGGTAGAGCTGTTTAATGTCATACTGTGGAACATTCCAGGTAGAGCAATGACATATTCATAGAAACAAACAGGTAACGGACCCTGCACCAGAAAAGTTACACAATGCAGCTTTAAAATGTACATTAGAATGAATCTAATTTAAAATAAGCGTTAGCTGCAGCCCTTTTATGTATAAGCGTATCATTAACTGGGTATATAGCGTTTATGTGTCTGTATGTGTGTTTATGTATGTGTGTGTGTGTGTGTGTGTCACTTCGTTGATAAGATAAATGCAAGTAATTTTCTGTATCTCTAGTTATACTAATGCTATTTAGTAGGGATGTAACAATAACCAAAATATCGTGATATTGTATCATGAAAAGTCTCACAATAATAGTGTAGGGTGTCACATTATATTGAATTACAAGTTATGTATTGTTTTATAGTAGCAAAAGCTAAAAAACATAGAGAACTACATATCCCATGATTCATTTCAGTGCACACCAGACGAAGAAATATGCTTTTTACTTGACTTCTTGGGATTATGACAGTAATGATTTGCACGAAAATCTTTTCAAGGTATTTTAAAAGCAAAAATGTGTCCTATCTACAATTATATTTGCCAAAATATCGCAATAAATATCATACCGCGAGATGCATATCATGACACTATTGTACAAAGAGATTTGGATATCGTTACATCCCTACCATTAAGACAAAGCAAGATAAGAAAGCAGGAGAGATCCATGCAAGAGATACAGGATAGAAGCAGACAAAGTAACACTAACTACTATCTCAAATACTACTGCTATATCTTCTTCTTCATCTCAGTATCAGTAAGTTCTTGAGTCCTTGAGATCCCAGTAGAGCACCGGTACTCGACTCAGCAATCCAGTCTATTCACTTGTCAACAATAAGAGCTGAGGCGTCAGAGCTTTTCTTTTTAATGTATTGACTGGCTTTAAGTTTCTTTTGTCACTTTTGTCAAGTCTGAACTAAAGATATGACAACACTATACTTATGGCACTAATAGAAGATGAACTATGAAGATGAACTTACTGAATTTTATAAACATTAAATTAAAAAGACTCAAATTCTAACAAAAAAAGCAAGAAAGAGTCAAAGAAGAAACCACATGATTTTAAAACGGAATCATGTACACAATTATTTTTCCATAAACTGTCAACTAGAAAATGCAACAGTACAGCCATGCAGTAACCTCCACCTTACAAATTTAAATATGTAAAAAAATAATTATTTGATTTAAGAAGACAAAAGTATCATACCTGCAAGTACACACTGTAGAAAATGAGAAAGAGTTTTCAAAAATTACAAATGAATTTCTATACATTAACAATATTTTTTAGATTGATGCATTTGTGTGTGCTGTTTACAATACCTGAAAATGTATGTCCAACAAGACAAAAATCGCAACCCACTTAAGCCCCATTATCCTTCTCTCTCTTCAAAAATTCCACGGATGCTTTACTAAGTTTTGTGTTTAAAGTTTTTCTGAGTAAATCTTTCTTTTTGTTAGTTGAAATATGCCGTTCTGATCCCGCCCTCCCTGAAACAGTTGTCCAATCAGAGTCAAGCAGAGATGACCCTACAGGCAGGTAGAGATAGAAATGAATACCTAGGACCTAAAGGCTGTAGAGAATGTACAAATGAGTGACCTAAGACATTGCATTGCCCCAGGTTTGAAAAATAAAAAGGGATTTTCCAAAACTAAACTTTAGATTTTTACCCTAAAGTTATTCAGTTATTGTAATGTCCTACTTTTCTTTCCAGTTACTTGCACAAGTTAGAGTTACATTTCAAATTAAAACCTTGGAATTCGCCTTTGAGGTGGGATTTGACCCAGTCTCACACAACCGTTGAAACCATATCTGAATCCTAATTTGAACTTTGAAAACTACTTCTTAAATTGTACATTGTGATTTGTGTCCATCAAATTTCCTTGGAGATTTTATTGCTTGGTCTGGAATGTTTCACATTATGGTATTAAACCTTTCTATCTTCATGGAGGCCAAACCAGACCAAGTTACAGGTCAAATCTGTGGAGAAGCGACCCCGCTCACAGTCAGAATGCTTGTTTTTCTATGTATTTTTGAGCAATAAAGCCAGTCATCGTCTAATAAATGTAAGGTAGAGCTGTTCAGTGTCATAATGTGGAACACTCCCTCAACTGTACAACAATAATACTCCCTACAACTGTACAACAACTCACCCTTATTAACAGATAAACTCCCTACAACTGTACAAAAACTCACCCTTATGTAACAGATAATACTCCCTACAACTGTACAACAACTCACCCTTATGTAACAGATAATACTCCCTACAGCTGTACAACAACTCACTCACTGTAACATAATACTCCCTACAACTGTACAACAACTCACCCTTATGTAACAGATAATACTCCCTACAACTGTACAACAACTCACCTTTATTTAACAGATAATACTCCCTACAACTGTACAACAACTCACCCTTATGTAACAGATAATACTCCCTACAGCTGTACAATAACTCACCCTTATGTGACAGATAATACTCCCTACAACTGTACAACAACTCACCCACTGTAACATAATACTCCCTACAACTGTACAACAACTCACCCTTATGTAACAGATAATACTCCCTACAACTGTACAACAACTCACCCTTATGTAACAGATGATACTTCCTACAACTGTACAACAACTCACCCACTGTAACAGATAATACTCCTTACAACTGTACAACAACTCACCCTTATGTAACAGACAATACTCCCTACAACTGTACAACAACTCACCCTTATGTAACAGATAATACTCCCTACAACTGTACAACAAACTCACCCCTAACTTGTGCCCTAACTGTCCTCATGACCTTGTATATAGCTGAGTTATATTTGTATTATCATATTTCTGTTTAGTTTTTTTTGTTTTGTTTTTTTACTTGTGCATTTACATTTATATAATTACATCTTATTTGACTTGCTGTTTTTGCTACTTATTTAGAATTTATTATTACCATTTATATTTTCTCTCTTTTGTAATTATAATATATTGTGATGCATGAGCTACTGCGTCTAAATAATTTCCCTTGTGTGTCAATAAATAAAGTCTAAGCCTAAGAGATCTGTTAGCCGGGAGTGAATGAGACACAATTCCTACAAGATGCGACAAGCCTGGGTCCATAAAAACAAAACAAGATGAGATTTTTACACAATTTAAAGTTGTAAAATTATCTAGGTTCAGTGCACAATGTATTATTTCTTTTATTTTTTAATATTTTTGTTTTCATACTAACTTATTTTGGAACTAGAGCCAAATGTAAGAACACATAGAAAATAATCTCACAAGATCCATCTACACATTACAGTTTTGCACCAGAATGTTCTACAATATGGCATAAAGCCCATATGTCTCCATGTAGACAAGAAGGTAATGCCACCAAGTTACAGGTCAGCTCTGTGGAGAGGTGAGCCCACTCACAGTAAGAATGCATGATTTTCAAGTTGTGCAAGTAATAAAGACCAGATACATTTTATGCCATGCTATGACCACCCACCACCAAAGTTTGTAAGATAGTACACCTTTAATGTTTCCACTATTATACATATTTTTCTTCTTTAGTAAAATAGCTTTACTAGTTTTAATGTGCTGATTTTTTATAATTGTTGATCAAACTCACAGTTTTATGTCCATTTGCTTACCTGTGATACTCTTCTAGTGTAGATCGATTCTACATTGGTTATGATTTCGGGAAAAATTAAAAATAGAAAATAATGCACAATTTGGGTTTGCATTTTTAGCTAGGGTAGTCTAATTGATAAACATAATAATTTAGCTAAATATGTCTGAAAATATTTACATGAACTGTAATATGTGTTCTTTTGCGATCACGACACTGAACATGATTTCTATGGACATTAACAAGAACAAGAATATGGCAGAATGTTAAATGACAGTTGTTAAAGTGTGTTCAAAAACGAATTATTGTGGACAACACAAGATTTACCCGCCAACTTCTGAAAAACTACAGTAAGGTCGTCGCGGACTGTATGACGTAAGTTGACGTCAGAGGTCAGCGACGCTGGACCGGAAGAGTTGCAGAGGAAAAGAAACACAAAATGGCATCGGGTTTGGATCACGGGCTGAAAAAAAGTGTTTGGAAAAGTAAGTTAAAGGCACAGCTATATTATTTTGTCAGTTACAAATCTATGTACCTGCAAGTATACATTTACGTTGAGCTTGATTCAAGAATCCGCTGTTTTGAGCTAAAGTAACTGCTTGTGTTTTGTGTTGCAAGTTTCCTACTAAAAGTTTTCTGTTCCTAATTATAGCTCTTACACTGACACTTGAGGGATTATTTTTTAAACCGCATGTTATTTATTATTTTATTGTGTATGTTTTGTGTATGCAAGTTGTAGCTTTTAAAACGTGTGACTGGAATGAGGTCACGGTTTCCTCTCGCCGCGCCTTAACATGAATCAATAGCGAAATAAACTGTTTACTTTTGACACTTCATTATTTCCGATAGTTTAAAAGCAGCTTTATTCAGTAATTTCCCCTCTTCCCAAGAGGATAGAGAGGATAATGGAAGAGGATATTCCATTAGCTGTATTCACCATAAATGATTGCGTTAATGCATGTTTATGTATTGCTGTTGTTGATATTTTAACTGGTATTTTCCACTGTTAAACGTATTTTCATATAGCTAGTATTGTTTTATTAGTATGTAATTATGGGTATGTATTATATGTAATGTTATTTAGGTTCAATGTCACTGATGATCTAAACTTCTCTGTATCATACTGTGGCAGAGAGAGCGGGCTGTCATTTATGTATGGAATTTATCATTGTTTTTCTCAGGAATAAAAGAAACCATAATTGAAGACTGCAGAAAGTCAGAAGTATGGAAGGTATGAGGTATTTTAGATCAATCAATCAAACTTTATTTATAGAGCCCTTCACAACACTCAGGGTAACGTAAGTGCCTCACGTTAAAATCAACACAATGTAAAAATATACCAAACATTTAACAAAGAAATAAAACAAACTGTGCAAAGTGCCACTGCCATTACTGAATTGATAAGTTTTGAGCCTGGATTTACAAAGGCCAAAGTCTGTGATTATGTGCATATTAGGGGGCAGTTTTTTCAAGAGAATGGATGGCAGATTTTATTCTCATATACTTTTATTAGTGCAGTCACAGTACTAAAATTTCACACTTGATTTCCATCCTAAGGAAAAAAACACCTTATACTGATTTAGGACAGTAAAATGTTATGTTTATCTAAGCAAATTTATAGTAGTGTCATTCTGTTTCACATATTTATAGTAGTTTCTTTAATATTATTCCGTGGTCTTATGCTAGTTCTGATATAGGTGCAAGACATTCTAAAACTATTTATGAAATGTTTGTGAAAAGTTAAAAAATATTTTCCCGTATTAATACTTATTTAAATGAGTATCTAGTATTAATACTAGTTTAATATTGATTAGTTACTTGGTATGTATTACCTGGACAGCCCTCACATTTATACAATACAATACTTCAATTCATTTTGAATGTTGTATATTTCCAATTTCTACTTTTTATATTTTTGTTTCACTTGTTTCTTTTCTCAGATTTTGATCTTGGACCCATTCACCACCAAACTTCTGTCATCATGCTGCAAAATGTCCGATCTGATGGCAGAGAAAATCACGAGTAAGTTGTGAAGTTATAATTAACCCCCCCCCCTTTTGCTATTTAACATGGTATTTGTGTTTTTTCTTGTTATAGTTGTGGAGGATTTGTACAAAATCCGAGAGCCTGTTTTAGAAATGAAGGCCATCTACTTCATGACCCCAACATCTAAGGTTTGTTCCCCCTTTTTTTCTGAAAAAGATTAGAAACGTCACACAAAATGAAAAACATTAAACTTTAAATAATATTAGAACATTAAAAACTTATCTCTACAATCTTATCTGTAATCTGTATATTGCTTGGACTTAATAACTTGACCTGATATATAAATACATAAATAATTAAAATTAATACTAAAACATATTATAGAGCTACAAGAGTCATCATTCTCAAATTGCAATATTAATGATCACAAAGGCTACATAAAAGTTATGGTACTTTGTAAAGGCTTATTACAAAGTACCATAACTTCCTCCATAAACTACTAAATACCTTGTCTCATTTGGCATAAAATTGCTATGTCAGTTCATATTTAAGTCTTTTTGTCATTTCTTCTGGACACATTTAAAATGTGAACTTTGAAAAGAATCCTAATATTAAAACATAAATCACAAATCAAATCTCAGTTACGATGCTTGTCAGTAAAATCTTAATTACAGTTTGTTTAAAAACGTGCATTATCATACAAAATAAAAAACATACAGTTAAAAGAATCCAGTGTTTAACTTCTATATTTTCTACCATGTTTCAGTGTGTGGAGGCCCTCGTTCGAGACTTCAAGCCCAAACCTAAATATAAATCAGCGTATGTTTATTTCACCAATTGTAAGTCATTTTTAAATTAACTAATGCAGTGTTTCTCAAAAGTTTATTGATGCTTTGCAGTGACATCATGCTGGGGGTGTTCTACATGTAGGTCTATAGTGGAATGTTCAGAAGTTACCATGGTGACACAATGCACACTAAAATGGACTGAAAATGAAAAAAAAAAAATACAAAATGGATTTAAACAGCACATTTTCCTGTGATAAGTCCGAGGATTCATAGTCACTCTCACCTTTTTTATCTGAAACACACAAACCCACCTAAATCAGATCTTTCTGGTCAGATTATGTTAAAACGCAACTCAGATTAAAGTCTAACATTGTTTTTAAAATTAAAGTCTAATTTGAATAACAAAGCTTCAGACACCCCCAGGAAATATTGATGACATCAGATTCAAAATACCAATATGAGATTATGGTGGCACAGTCTTTTATTGAATAACTTTATTTGATACAATTTTTGAGTAAATATATTGCTTATTACCTATAAATGAATCAAAAAGGATTACTTCTGTATATTTATGACAATGCAGTGGTAATTCTAATTTACTGGTTTGTTTATTTTAGACTATGAGGGCAAAAACTAGTCGAGCATCATAGTCTCCTCTACTGAAGATGTTTTGTGTAACATTTCTGGTGGAGAATCCGTCAGATGCTTTCCTCCAAGGAGTTGTTATTGCTTTGTCTGAAATGTTACACAGTACAGTATTAAACCTTTCTATCATCGTGGAGACCAAACCAGACTAAGTTACAGGTCAGATCTGTGGAGAGGCAACCCTGCTCACAGTCAGAATGCCTGTTTTTCTAGGTATTTTTGAGCTATATAGCCACCTGCAATTGAATAAATGTAAAGTAGAGCTGTGGAACATTCCAGGCAGAGCAATGAAATATCCTTAGAAGCAAGCAGGTGACAGACCTCCAAACAAAAATTTACACAGTACACCTCTTAATAGAAAACACTACAAATGCTTTAATATAATGATAATAATTATAGTAATCTAAAAGTTGCCTAAATCTCTGTACTAATAATATCTTAACTTTTCCCATAGACTGTCCCGATGACCTCTTCAACAACATGAAGCTTTCATGTGGAAAGTATATCCGAGTCTGTAAGGAACTCCACATCTCCTTCATGCCTCAAGAAGCACAAGTGAGTTCTTTCAGTTTGTATCACAGATGTGCTCGATTCCACTTTTTCTCTGTGAAATTCTCCTTTTTCACTCTGTGCTTTTACTTTTGTTTTGACTGGAGGGTTTTTTTGGAATTAAGTAATTTCTTGTGGTGTTAGTCTGTAACACTATTTATACTGAAATAATATACTAATGGGCATGGTGCTGTTGTCCCATATAAGCCCTTATAGTGTAAATAAAATTATTAGTCAACTGATACAAATTTTGGTTGATTAAAACGGCATCAACCAATTAATCAAGTAAATGACTAAAGGTCTACAACCCTAATGACATCATAATTCAGTTTTATCACCATATTGCCCAGCCCTAATAACTTACTATTGTTGTGTTATAAGTAAACTATCATGTATTTTAAGGGTCCTATGTTACATAAAATTGACTCTTGTGGGTTTTAAACCATTTTATAATAATCAAAAACATACCTGGAGTAGTGTTTTTGTTTCATTCATACATGTTTGAATGATCCTTTATTATTAGTCTATCTGCATCTCCAAAGCTCAAAATGCTCTTTTCCACCTTGTGATGTTATGTTTTGAAGCGGTAGTTTTGAAGTTAACAGCAACCTTTTACTTTCAGTTCAGTAGAGATTGGCAGTTCCAGGGCTGAAATTATTCAGATGAATCTAGTGAAAGTTTAAAAATACATTGGAACACTTCCTGTATTACCACATAACATCACAAGGTGGAACAGAGTGTTTTCACTTTGAAAAAAGATATATACAGGATTTGTGTTTTCAACATGTGTGAATGAAACAAAACACAACTCCAACAATGTTTTTGATGAGGAAACAACTTTATAACATAGATCAGTAATAACAATAATATAGCCCTTTAAGAAAACCTGTTTTTCCCATTCAGGTGTTCACATGTGATTACCCCGGAGCTTTCCAGAGTATCTACAGCCCTCACAGCCAGGACAAAAAGAAGACACTGGAGACGCTGGCCGATCAACTGGTGACTCTTTGTGATACCCTGGACGAGTACCCAGGGGTCAGATACAAAAAGTAAGACTCGCAATGGTCTCTATCCGGTTACGGAACAAATCAGCCCCTCAGCGAAAATCCAAACTTATTTACCAAAACACATTCAACCTGAGATGTGGCTTAAAGGCTAGATACTAATGCTTTGTTTTGCACTGTCCCCATTTTACAATACAGTAGTCATATACAATTGTACATGTACATTAAATATGGGCTAGTAGGTCCTGTTATTGTTATAGTAAATTTGTTTCCCATGTGCAGATATTCAAATAACATCTTCTTGGTATTAATTTCTAATAACTATACCTTAATTCTTAACAAAAGCGTAAATAAAGACTTAATCTATATTACACAAATCTTGCATAGAACTATTCAGGCCTATACTTTATTAAGCCTGACAATTTGATTATTAGGATTTAAGTGTTTGTCCATGTTTTATTATAGCTAAGCCGAAATGGTGTTTGTAAATATTTTTGTGAATACAAGTAACTGAGGTAGGTGTTTACAATCTATTATTTGTCAAATCATAACTACTGTGTAATTTATTTGGCCCTTGTTATCAGTATGGTTGCTATATAACATACCTCTGCAAAACTAGATAAGACCAGGCGATATTTTTGGTAAAACCTTATGAGTCTTCAAGAAATGTGTCATCTAACCTGTCATATACACTTTATCCATTTAACTCCTGTAATTAGGCTGAATTGTCCTTGTATTTGAAACCAGGGACAGCAACATGGAGAACGCAAAGACGCTTGCTGAGCTGGTAGACAACAAACTGGCCCAACATTACGAGCTGGACGAGAGTGGGAAGAAAAAGGTGAAGTGTCAGATTCACTGTTGACATCACAAACAGTATCAGAGCCTCAGGAGAACTACAGCTCACACACTGACAATGGGTTTATCTAAAGGGACACTAAAGACAAGACGGGTTTCCAGCAAATAACTTTCTGTCCCTCCATTTCCAAACAATTTTCTAAGCTGTTTTTGTGTTTATTAAGGTGTTATGTAGATTTATGTATGTAGCTGTTTTTGCCACATAACAAAGTCTACTGTTTATTTTACCACTGATTATTGCTCAAAACTCCAGAGAAAAGTACTGAACTATTACTATAACGTAAAATTTTGGTAATTATATATTTTTATTTATTTAAAAAGCCATAACTCTATCTCATTAAATAGAGTTTTGGTACGAAGAGTTAAATATGCTTTAAACCCATATACATTTTTTGTTGGGGGTCCGTCACCTGCTTGTTTCTATGGAGATGCCATTGCTCTGCTTGGAATGTTCCACAGTATGACATTAAAGAGCTCTACCTTACATTTATTCAAATACAGGTGGTTTTATAGCTCAGAAATACCTAGAAAAAGGCATTCTGACTGTGAGCGGGGTCGCCTCTCCACAGATCTGACCTCTAACTTGGCCTAGTTTGGTCTCCATGAAGATAGAAATGTTTAATGCTGTACAGAGCAATAACATCTCCGAAAAGCATATCCTCCACCAGAAAAGTTACACAATGGACTTTTAACTGGTGAAATTATTAACAGGAATCAAATGAAGTGTATTGTAATAAACCTCCTACATGCATGCGTTCCTCTTTATAGATGGGTGAAATGTAATGAATAATCTCACCGTTGATGTTAAACCTTTTATTTATTGTTCATTTGTATCTTTTCTGTTCAGGGGAAGACTCAGGCCCAGCTGCTGATCATGGAGCGAGGGTTTGATCCTGTCAGTCCCATTTTACATGAGCTCACATACCAGGCCATGGCCTACGACCTCGTGGACATCAATGAAGACACGTACAAGTAAATATAAACAGAACACACTGTAAATGTTAATGATAGTAATAATAATAATAATTGTGCCTTTCAAGACACACAAAGTATTTACAGTGCATTATTCATTCACTCCACTCCACAGTCTTCATCCAAGTACTAACCAGGCCCGACCTTGCTTAGCTTCTTAGATCCCACGAGATTAGGCAATGTTACACTATTTGAAATCTTCACTTTAAAGGTTCACAGTGTAACTTTTCTGGTTAGAGCTGCCTATTTTCATGGAGAAAAGCATGTGCCATGATACAGATTAGATTTGTGGAGAAGTGACACATGGTGGTGGACCTCACACTAGAAAAATTACATAGTACACATTTTAAATAACCAAAACTTACCTTCTGTGTTTGATCTGAACCTCAACCAAGACATTTACAGGCATGTTTTAGCACATTTTACAATGGACTGCCAAAATAATGTCTGGATATCATATCCCATCCTTACAAATCAATGCATTTCTGTCACTGTCCATTGAAAAATAGATATAATAAATTGATAGCATTGCTGAAACTCAGACTTATTGACTGTATTTCTTAATTACTGTCCATGTTGTTTTTTATTCTGTACTTTAAAACATGTTCTATGCTCAAAATATAACTGAATGCTAACTCTCATTGTTGTTTTAGGTATAAGGCTAAAGACGGAGCAGAGAAACAGGCTCTGCTCAATGAGGACGACATGCTGTGGGTCAAACTCCGGCACAAACACATTGCAGAAGTCACTGAGTAAGTCAAGAAAACCTGAAGAAACAGAACTTTATTTGGCAACTCTATAATTACTACACTTTTTTTATTAGCCTTAATAAAGCAAAGAACAAAAGCATAATTATTAAACCATTTGTTCATTATGAATTAAGAATGATTCAGGCTCAATTCCTACTTTTTTAACATGATGGTTGTTAAGTACATCTCTACATATATGTTGTTTCAGCTGCCTGTGTCCAACCAGGAAGTAAAATTGTAACCCTCATCAAAATTACAAAAATAGAAAAGAATAGGCAAAATCTTTGTGATCGAATTAATTAACATTGTTTTGGTGAAATGTGTGGTCTAACCTGTCATATGCACTTTAAGCCTGAATGATTCTTAACGCTATTTGTTCCTTGTGGGTTAAGACTTCATGCTTCATTAAGGATAATTAAAGGTTGTATGGAGGATTTTTTTTGTTTGTTTTTTGTTTCAAATTGTCAATGATAGCATTATAGAGATGCAGTAGCCTTGTAATTATGATGACCAAAAAAAAGAGAATAAAAATTCATCAACTCTGGACGTGGTGGGGCTAAACATTTGCCAATAGATAACGACACTGCCTCGTTATCTGTTAGTTGACAGGCTGTCAATCAAACTCCCTACGTTTCTAGCGTAACTGACTTGCCTGCGCGCTGCCATTACGTGGTTTACGTACGTCTGTCACGCAGTCCACAGACGCTGTTTACTCCACCAACGCAACAGTTCTTAGCGGCTTTTTTTTGACCTATATCTTCCTCGCAGTTAGCACAAAGTTTATTGCAATGGCGACAAGAATCCAGGAGCAGTTAGCCGCAAAACAAAGTCCGTTTTTGAGGTCACTGAAAGAAGAAGACAAGCGGAAAAGCAGCGAAACCAAACTAAGGTGATTCTTGAAGATTCATTCCAGCGATGGCGCGACTGAAGCAGACACAGGGTCTAAAGACTGACGCACTGGTCGCCAAATTACTTCTGGACAGGTCACTTCTGCTTATTATGAAAACGTACTTTATTTCCAAGAGCTAGTCAAACGTTTTTCAGGACACGAATGCGATATCCTATGTCTGAAAACTTAATTTTCAAGGCAAAGAGTCCGCTTGCTGCTGCGTGTTGTAGTAGTAGCTAGTTCATTCGCACGGAATCTCCGCGCCCCCCTCTCTGCGCCCCTCTCTGCCCGTTCCGCTCTTCTCCCTGCTCCTCACGGAATCTCCACGCACCGCTCCCCTCTCCTCTCCTCTCCTCTCTCCTCACTCCCCGCTCCGTTCTTCGCCCTGCTCCTCACTTCTTGTCCGTGCACGAAATGTCCGCGCACCCCCTCCCCCCCGCTCCTCACTTCTCCGCCTTGCCTAACCAACACTGTAGTTAGTTGTTTACAAGTCATGTGCAGCGCACCGGTTTCTGGCGTAAGGATGAGGCGGAAGGAAGCGTTTCTACGTAGGGAGCTGTGGGGGAGGGGGGGTGGTTTCACGCATGCGCAACATTTGAAAAAGGACAAACAGTCGCTGGATTTCTCGTTCCTTGGAAAATCCTCTATACAACCTTTAAGATGTCATTATTTTAAAGTGGCACTCTTTATTTATATAGTTGTGGTGGGTTTTATGTTTTATCTGTTTGATCTCCTCTCTGTTAAAAGACAAATTCCAAAGATGGTGAAAGAAATATCTGCCAGCAAGAGGCAGCCTGATGCAAAGGTGAAGTCCAGTCTTAGTTCATAGTGAAACTGATTGACCAACATTGTTTAAATGACGGAAACACAAATATAATTTCTCATTTCCTCGTATTTTCCAGATTACAATCAGTAATCTTTCCCAAATGATGAAGAAGATGCCTGCATTCCGTAAACAGATCACAGAGGTGAGTTTGTTCACTTAAATTTAAACTACATTTTATCTGCTTTATCATTTACTGCACCACCTAAATCACAATCAACCAACCCCATTGTAAAGTCCAGCAAAAATCAATATAAATAAATGAATATAATAGATGTTTTAAAGGTCCTATATTATGCAAAATTGACTCTTGTGAGCTCTAAACCATGTTATAATGTTGTCACCTCATCAAAGACATACCTGGAGTTGTGTTTTCTTTCATACACATGAGTTTGAGTAATCCTTTGTTATTAGTTTGTCTACATCTCCAGAGCTCAAAATGCTCCATTCCTCCTTGTGAGGTCACATGGCAGTAGTTTTCAAGGTAACAGCTACCTTTTTCCTTTTGTTCGGTGGAGATTGGAAAATGCATCATCACTGAAATTATCCAAATGATTCTAGTGAAGGTGTATGGAGTTTAAAAACACAATGGTGGATGGTGGATTTTCTGTACGTATCACCACATGACAACGCAGCCTAAAACACAATTCCAGATTATGTTTGTGATGAGGAAACAACATTATAACACAGATCAGAAAATTGTGTAATATGGGCCCTTTACTACTATAATATGAATATTAGGTTAGATTTTAAAACCTCATATAATAAACTCTCCTTGTTCTTTGTAGAAAACAGTCCATCTACAGTTGGCTGAGGACTGCATGAAGCACTTTTCAAACAACGTGGAGAAACTGTGTAAAGCTGAACAGGTGCGTGTCTGGAGCTGTCAGACAAATTTAAACCCTGAGTCATGAGCAGAGGGGGTGGAGTAGACATTAGCCCTAAATTGTACTTAAGTAAGATAACTGTTACTTCACAATAATATTTTTTAAGAAGAAGTACAAAGTAGTGGCTCAAGTTAAAGGTGCATTGTGTAATTTTTTAGCTGGAGGGTCCAACAAATGCTTTTCTTCATGGATATGTTTTCGCTTTGTCTGGAATGTTTCACAGTATGGTTTTAAACCTTTCTATCATCATGGAGACCGAACCAGACCAAGTTACAGGTCAGATCTGTACTGCGTAGTAAGAGAGAGGGCTCTAATATGATCATTTGCCCAATTGTCAAGCATAAATTGCATAGGTCTAAAAGGCAACAAAGAAGAGTGGGTTACTCTTTGGTTTCAACACATGTCAAAGATGTCAATCAAAAAACGTAAACAGAGGAGTGGATGTGAAAAGACAAAAAAGCTCACTTCAAAATGAAATGATTTAGGTGTTTTTGTTAATAAACAATCAGAAGTAGTTCATCTTTATGTGTTTTCTTCAATTATTTCATTACTGATTTACTGAAATTATTCATTATTATTATTTAACGGTAGGCCTTTTTGTGGGGGAAAAGTCCAGGGTTGTTTTTTGGTCCCAGTCCGTTCCTGCTGCTCACAGTCAGAATGTCTGTTTTTCTAGGTGTTTTGTAGCTATAAAGCCACCTGTAATTAAATAAATGTCAAGTAGAGCTGTTTAATGTCATACCATGGAACATCGAAAGCAGAGCAATGATATGTCTAAACAAACAGGAAGGTGACGGACCCCTACCCAAAAAGTTACATAATGTACCTTTAAGAAAATGTATTAGAGTAAATGTAACTTAGACTCACCATTGGCCTGTCTCTGATCTGCTTGTTTCTGTGGGGCAGGACCTGGCTGTGGGCTCTGATGTGGAGGGGGTCAAAGTGAAGGACCCCATGAGGACGCTGCTCCCTGTGTTACTGCATCCGTACAGTATCCCGGACAAGATCAGAGCCGTGCTGCTGTACATCTTCAGTGTTAATGGTACCAGTTTGTTAAATGTATTGTTTTATAATTACAGTCTTCTTGGATTGTAGGGACTGGTCGTCACAGATTTAAAGGGCCAATATTACACTATTTTCTGTTCTATGTTATAAAGTTGTTTCTTTCTCACAAATATACCTCATGTTGAACACACAAATCCTGCATATTTAGACGGAGTTCTTCTCTCAAATCAAAACAAAACAAAACTCTGTTCCACCTTGTGATGTCATGTGGTAATACAGGAAGTGTTCCACTGTGTTTTTAAACTCCATGCACCTTCAGTAGAATAATTTGGATGATTTCAGCCCTGGAATTGCCAATTTGTACTGAACAAAAGGTAAATGGTAACTTGAAAACTACCGCTTCATGACATCACAAGGTGGAACAGAGCATTTTGAACTTTGGAGGTGTGAACAGACTATAACTGTGTGAATGAAACAAAACACCATGTTTTAGTCCCAGTTGCATTTAGAATGTCAGTGGAACAGAGGACAAACGTTTTGAAAAGACTTTGTTGTTAGTGGAACTCTATAGCGCCTCCCAGAGTACCAAATTGCAAAATGCTGGTCCATTTGGAGGATGGCTGCCACCGTGTTTGATTGTTGTAAACGTTGGCTGTACAATATATTTTTAATTGTGTAAATTATACGTACAATTATAAACCCCTTAAATATAATTATTCCAAGATTCAATTCTAAAACAAAATCTTCCCCTGACTACGTGCATGTAAACTAAATAGTTTTACTTAAACTGTGTCAATCTATGCCCAGCTGACGTGGTTGTCTGTTACACTGACAGGAACAACAGAAGAAAACTTGAATAAACTCATCCAACATGTGAAGATCGAAGACCAAAAGGAATTTATCCTGAACTGGAAAGAGCTGGGAGTTCCCATTATTACATCGGTACCTCAATGCAACTTTACTAAAACATATGACTCTCAAGGAAAAACATCATTTATTAAACCTGCCACTTCACTTTTAATCATTTGCGTGCTCTGTGTAGCCAAGTTTCTTCTCCCGAAAACCTTCACGGAGAGACCGATCTCAGGGGGAAACCTACAACCTGTCAAGATGGACGCCGGTCATTAAAGACATCATGGAAGTGAGTTTTGTCTTCAAAGTCATTATTGTTGTGATTTGGAGAAAGGGCACAGTCTGTAACTTTTTAGCTAAGAAATGAACTAAAAAAATAAAAGCATGTTTATTGCTCAGAGGAACAGAAAAACATGCATCGTTAATGCGAGCGGGCTTGCATCTCCACAAACCTGACTGTTATTTGGCCTGGAGGAGGGCCTCGTCCTGCTTGTTTCCTGGGAAAGGCTGTTCCTTTGACTATACTCTTCCACAGTATGGCATAAAACTTTATCTATCTTCATGAAGAATGTCCCAAAATATGGTTTTAAGTTTTTGTTAAAGGAAATGGAAAAATTAGTAGGTGGAAGTCCAAAACCCTCAAACGAGAATACAATAACTGTACAAAATATTTATTTTTTGACAATTTTTTATTTAGTCATTATTAAATGTAGATATAGTCTCTTTTTAAAAAAAAATTATTTCTATGCAAATTTTCTACCATGTAACTTATTGTAATTTAAAGTAAAAAAAGACAAATTTAAAAAAATATTGGAACAAAATACTAAATATCAACTTTCAGCCATTCTTTCGGCTTTATATTTTCTACTGTTTTAGCTTACCTCAGTATATCTAGGCCACTATTGTTTCAAAAAGTATTGTCCAATGTCCACCCACATTCCTCTCAGATAAACCCTTGTATATATGTATAACATTACACTAACTTTTAAGGACTCAAAATTACTTCCTTCAGATGGCCGTCCAAAATAGGAAATGGTGAGTTATTTGCCGTAGTAGAGGAAGTCTGCACTTTTGGGTCACTTGTAAAAAAACTCGTGAGAAAAACAATGCAAAGGGTTTTGTTAAGGAGGACATCAGATAAGTCTCCCCTGGGATGTCCTGTGTAGGTTCATATGTCTTTATCTTAACGTTTGTGGGACATGGGAGACGTTCATTTCAGATGCCCAAAGATTTCATTGTAACTGTATGGTCTCACATTAGAGAACAAAAGAAGAAAAGGTTTAGAGTAAAAGAACATTATGATTGAAAATTATCCACTCAGTTTGGGTCAGGTGAGAAGGAGGTACACTGAGTTCATGAGAATGCAATAAAGTAGTGTTTATGTATTTATTTACTGTTTATTAAATAGGGACTGATATACAAACACAGATTAACAATTCAATAAATAGAAAATGTTCAAATAGAACTCGGCAGCTTTGTGGGAGTTCGTCTGTCAGTCACATTTTACAATTTCTCATCCCCAGTAGAAACATAGATAAAATAGAAATAGAAAAAAAATAGATTATCAGCTATTTTCCTGTGTTCAAAGATGTGTAGTCTGGGTCCAGGGCTTATCTCATTAAGTTTAGATGTGTGTGATTGACAGGCAGATTAACCAGTCACCGAAGAAAAAAAGCTTAGTCCATATCATAACTCACATGGCTGCTTACAAGGAAAATGGAAAAAAAAAACAACAGATGACCAGTCAGCTTGTTTTTTGTCCATGTGTTTTTGAAATAAGCAAACGTGATTGGAGGTTTGGCCTGAGGAGTTGTTTCTATTTAATATATTTCCAGTCCAGTATAACATTAAACTTTAATGAAATATTGTTGTGCCCTTTTGCTTTGAGGAGGTTTGTAACTCGCATAATAAAAAATAAGAACTAAAGGAGATCCACTATTTGCCTTTATCCATTTATTTTTAAAGAACAAAAATATTCCCCATGGTTGATTTTCAATAGAATTTTAGGTGTTCACAAAATGGTTTCTCTAACTGCTGGCACTGCTGACCCCTGACCCTGATATTAAACCAAAGCTGATTCTGGACCTGGTCTTTTCAGGATGCAGTGGAGAACAAACTGGACACCAGAGAGTGGCCTCATCAGTCTGAGTGTCCGGCCGCGTGGAACGGCTCTGGAGCGGTCAGGTGGGTCTAACTCTGGACCTCAGTTTGAAGACGATCTACAAATCTTCATTCCACAAATTATTTCACAACCTAGAACTGCTTGATAACTAAAAACAAGATTAACATTATTTCTATTGTTATACAAATGTGGTGTGAGCACTGTGAATTTTGCTGATTATGAAGTATCGTCGCTTTCCTGCGTGCGTATAGACTCCAAACTGCGGACATCCTTTTCACCCACACATGCACACAGATCAGTTTTCTCAGTTATATACTGTTTTGAAATTGAGTTGAGTAAGATTTAGTAGCCTTATTAATGTATATAAAACTCATTTGATACTTACCTCAATTCATCAAACCACACAGACTTATGGCAGTTTTCAAGAGCAGGCTATATAAGTAAAGACAAAAATAAAATCAAAACAAACTCAAATCAAATCAATTAAAACATAAATCGGGTAAAAATGCAACAGTATAGCACCTAATGTAGAGAAGCAGTGTGAGCTCCCTCTAGTGGCGGTTTTATCTCACTGAGCACATCTCTGTCTCCTGAACAGCGCCCGTCAGAAGCACAAGCCCAGCTCCCAGGACGAGCGGAGGGGCGCCAGGTTGATCATCTTTATCATCGGAGGGGTCACGCACTCTGAGATGCGCTGTGCCTACGAGGTCACCCAGGCAGTCAAGTCCTGTGAAGTCATCGTTGGTCAGTTCGAGCACTACACATTTTTATGAACACTGAACTGTAAACATTGATTGACAGTTGGTACAAAGTTACAGTATGTATGTGATGTGTAGTTGCTTTAAGGTCCTATCTTACGCAAAATTGACTCTTGAGCTTTAAAACATGTTATAATGTTGTTACCTTCTCAAAAATATATCTGGAGTTTTGTTTTGTTTTCACACGTTTGAGTAATGCTTTATTTTTTCATCATACTGCATCCCTAAAGCTTAAAATGCTTTGTTCCCACTTGTTACATCATAAAACAGTAATTTTCAAGTTAACAGCTACTTTTTACCTTTAGTTCAGTAGCGACTGGTAATTCCAGGTCTGAAATTATCCAAATGATTCTTGTGAAGGTGTAAAAACAGTGGGACAGTGTTTTCTGCAGGAACATGTGTGAATGAAACAAAACACAACTCTAGATTATGTTTGTGATGAAGAAACAACATTATAATTTCTATTTTAACTAAATATTATATATAGTTTAGAAAATAGCTTTTTAAAAATAAAGCTTTTTTTTTAAAGATAAGTAATGAATTTTAGGTGCAGAAATGGTGTCATCCAATTTTCGATTGTTTGAAGAACAAGAATGGACAGAATAAATTAATTTATAATAAAGATTACATCAAAACAATCGATTCTGTAAAGTACAACATGATAGAAACTAGTGTTGTCACAATACTAACATTTCAAACTCAACTTCAGTACTATGGAATAGACTTGATACTCAATACCAATTCTGATACCATGATGATTATTAAAAAACAGTCTTTATTTAGACAATAGAATGTGATATTCAACATTAAATAATAGTACTTTCTTTTATATTTCCTTGTGGCCTTATATGTGTGTAATCTCTCAGTGGTCGAGGTGGGTTCCATAGTGGTCCATGGGTGTGTACTAGTCTGTGTGCTCTTATTCTTGTTCTGATACAGCTCAAGATATTCAGAATATTCAGAACAGGTTCATTTCTGTCCTGTGAATGTGGCTTTTGGTATCGAAACCTGCTCAAATGAGTTTCTAGTTTTGATATTAATTTGAATAAATCTATTGGCGAAGGATCAAATATTGGTTTATAGGCACTAAATGTATTTCAGAAATTAATTGGAAACTAGCAAAAGTTGAAACTTTTACTCAAATTTATACTGTACTGTTTATTCTCTTTCTCTCTTTTTTTTTTTTAAAGGTTCATCTCATATTCTGACCCCGACCAGCCTCCTCAATGACATCAAGGCTCTGAGCAAAGGGCCTATGGAGACTTTTACTATCGACGAGCGCAGCAACGCCTGAAAAAACATGAAGCACCTGAACGCATCCCCAATGTCCAGTTACTGTTCGTCTCTGCACACTGCACTGTTGGGAATCAAAGGGTGTGTTCATACTTAGTCCTGTTTTGAGCCCAGTTTAGTCTTGATGTTGGACTTGGTTTGATTCTGTTCTAGTCCTTATACATTTGGTTCATGTTAGAGATACACGGATATATTGGTTGGACAATATATGGACTTTTTAGCGTATTTAGCCTTAAATGTCCATTTTAGGTCTATATTTTGTTGTGGTCAATCTGCAACCTAATAAATATACACAGAGCTTTATATCAACACTTTAATACAAAGAGACAGCTGCACAAAACGTGACTACACAGGCCTCTTACAGGTTTGTGGTAAAAAAAGAAAAGTTTGGGTGACTTTGTAGTAAATTTAGATTGTACAATTTGGGGAAAACAATCGAAATCAGCCCTACATATCAGTCCAAAAAATAACAGCAGAGATTATCGGTCATTGTTTCATCGTTTTATCAGTATTGGCATCGCCTATGAAAAAAACAGAACCTGTGGAGCTCCTGTTACCTGATATCTTAACATGCAACATCCTTAACAAATCCCTATACTTTAAACAGATGGAGGACAGGTTAGAACTCTATGGTAGAATTTCCTGTGAAACTGTCAGATTGCAGATTTGTTGACCTGGTTTATGGTTAATATCTGTAGTTACTGGGCCTATCCACTTGAAACAAAAACTGGCGCTAAGATTAGCGTCTCTTCAGTCTAAATAACAATTTATTTTTTTTGCACAATAGCCTCAGAAAGTGGTGCCATTAATCAACTCTGAAGGTGTGATTTTTGTCAGTTGAAAGATTATTAAAACATGAGATTAATATGGAAGGTTCAACATTTGTGAATCATAAATTTGGATATTTATTTAAAAAAACAGTGAATTTCCCATAGAGTTTTATACGCCCTTACCCACCGTCTGAGATTATGACTGAATTATAGAACCTGAACACAGTTTATTTAGTCAGGGTTTAATCCAGATTTAGACCCAAGTTTAGGAAGTGTGAACACACCCACAGACATAAGGGAATCCACTTAAAAATCATATTTATATTGTGTGTAATTATAATTTTAACCTTCTTTACAGTCCTTTTTATGAGGGAAGGTTGCTTCAATCTGGCTTTTAAAGTTTATTTGCCGAATGAACAAAAAATGATTTACACATTTATACGAATAACTAGTTTGTAGGCTTTTTTCACTGTCTTTAATTTACCCGGGAGACCTTATGATGTCATTGCCTTACGTGTTTGCCTTTATAATAGCTATTACCTGTGTTAAATGTATGAGATTAAATAAGTCTGGCTATTGTATATAACCCTGAATAGCACTGCTACAGCCAGAGGTTTTGGTTATTACTGTTTGACCACAATGTGTAATTTTGAAATGTTTTAACAGAGATTATTGACCCTTTTTAAATGTTGAATTGCTGACTAATAAAGAATGAAGTGATTCAAACTGTTATTATTTACAAATGATTCTCCACCACCCAGGGAATTAATGTTTGAAGTTGTAGAGAATTTAGAGAAGAGAATTTTACACTTTTAATGTATAATAGTAACGTTTATTTTTTATTTTTTTGTCATAATAATAAAAACACATTTACATTTTTTGTTAGCTTTTAGGTAAGTATAAAACAAGAGAACCTTGGGAAATGGGGGAAATCAGTGGCTACGGTTACATGAGCACGGAAAACATGCAGATTGTCAGATTTTTTTGAGTTATAAAATTATTAAGCCAAGTATTTGCCAAGTCAACTGATTTGTTTCTGATTATGGTCCTGCATATGTCGTCCTGAATGCTCACATTAGATCCTGTCATTTGCATGTAATTTAAATAATGTTAAAAGGTCCAGAATTCAAGTAATGGATTTTCAGAATACAAGACTAAGACATCCCAGGTTTGGATTGATTGCCAATAATAAAACTGAAACGAGTGCGTAATTAAGGAAAATTGTTCTGCACTCAGCACTAATGTGAGTCAGTATAGTCACATTTTATTCATGTTTTTGTCATTTTTAAGCAGCTTTTCTGTATTTTACCTTAACAAATGACAGTTTATGCCTCTCTTTACTGTTGGCAGGGATCAGATTGGCCAATAGAAACACCAACTCCCTGTTTTTTGAATAAATCTGCTGGGACAGGGGAATCAAGGCTCAAAACTGGGACTTCACCGGGTAAATAGGCACGACTGGTCACCTTACTTTAACTAGACTATTAGTGAAAGCTTTGTTAAGATCATAGAGCAGATAAATACAGTATTATCCTACCATCTTTATACAGTGTGTGGTTAAGATACAAGGAAGGGGTATAAAATCACAACACTGACCAGGTATACCCACACAGCTATTTCATATGATGGAAAGCATTATATCAGCAAAATTAGACGTGCAAAATGTTGTCTTAATTATTGAAAAGAAATCAAGCAACAAATGGCAAAAGAAGAAATTCAATTTGTCAATTAGACAAAAGTTTATTTTGGTCGAACATGTTTCACAGCTCATCCAAGCTGCACACTGCACATGCGCAAGGTTTAAATCTCCAGCTCAGCCAATCAGAAGCGCGCAGAGGCGGGGCCAACAGTTTGAAAACTGAACGGAACTTCTGTGCGCTGCAGAGAAGGTTCAACAAAACAACATCTCCGCAGAAAAACAGACTTCTAATCTATGTGCTTACAATAACTGGTGAGTAAAATGTTTGTGAATATTTAGCATATAGCGTGTCTTGTGAGCGTGTGCGGTAACTGTCATCTTCCACGTTGTACTTGGTTTTAAATGTTAGCCAACCTGCATGTGAAAGTATTATAATGTACTGCAACTAACTAAAGCTATAGCACTGTCACAGAGTATCAGTAATCTAAGGATCAATATATTTCAGTCAATGTATTCTTTGGAGTGAAAATCAGTATACGAACTAAGTGAGTGTTTCCTATAGGAGACTTCAGAGACACAAATGATCCCTAATTCTAATATTTTGTACGTACAATCTCTGTAGAATAAATATTACTTTTTGCCTCTTTTGATTAAAAAAAAAGTTTAATTACAGCTTATATATGTATATATGTATATATGTATGTATATATATATATATATATATATATATATATATATATATATATATATATATATATATATATATATATATATATATATATATATATATATATATATATATATATATATATATATATATACATACATACATACCTGTGCATGTTTAACACAATACTGCATTAGAATTACTATTAGCATACTACAAAGACTGGGGCTCCAAAGTCTCCCCTATTCATGGAAAATACTGTCAAATTAACCTTAAAATTACAAAGTTAGTGCAAGGTCTAATTGTTTGCCTTATCAGCACCCTACTCTCTGTTTGAAAGTATTGTAAAAACATTTTGGTTAGCCAGGCAAGATTATTTTAATATGCTTAAATATCATTGTCTTATGAAATGCTGTGATATCTTCTGAAAACCAGCAACACTACAGCAATCATTTTGTTTTATAAAGCACAAAACAAAGTTACAAGTGTTTAGAAAAATCTGTGAGGCAATGATGAGGATTTAATTAATAAAATGTTCTTATTTTTTTATAATTTTAGCACTTTTGGACATGGCTACGAGTCCTGTGAGCCCTGTGATTGAAGACCACCTGCTGTGCCCTATCTGCTTAGAGGTGTTTAAGGACCCCATCTCTACTCCATGCGGCCATAACTTTTGTAAAAACTGCATCTCCAAACACTGGGACAACAACGATTTGTCATGTCCTTTGTGTAAAAAGGAATTCAGCTCTAGGCCTGTCCTTCATGTTAACACTTTCATTTCAGAAATCTGCTCCAAGTTTATGAACCCGACCATGGATGAAAATGTGGAACTATATTTGGCAGGGGAAAAAGGAGACATCATGTGTGATATTTGCACTGGACGTAAACAAACTGCTGTAAAATCCTGCCCGGTATGTCTCTTTTCTTATTGCCAGAATCACTTAGAACCTCATTTGACCGTCCCCCGCCTTCAAAAACACCAACTTATGGAGCCAGTGGAGAACTTAGAAGAAAGGATGTGCTCAGAACATGATAAACCCTTGGAGCTGTACTGTCTCCAAGATCAAGTCTGTGTCTGTATGGTGTGCACTGTTCTCGGCCATAAGAACCACAATATAGTCCCTTTAAAGGAGGAGTTTGAAAACCAGCAAGTCTCACTGAAGCAAAGCATATCTGAGAACTGCCGTTTAATTGAAGAGAGGCAAGAGAAAGTTCAGAAGGTTAGACAACGTGTGGAGCTGAGTCGCAGTTGTGCACAAAGAGAAATCAACAGTGGTATGGTGTTCTTTGATGCTGTCTTGGAGCTTGTTCAGAAAAGCATGGCAGAGTTTCAAAATGAGATCCTGACAAAGCAGAGGGCGAACGAGAAGGAAGCGGATGCACTAATTTCAGAGCTGGAAAGCGAGATTTGTCAACTGGGGCACAGAGACATTAAAATGGGAAAACTGGCATCCTCCAATGACTATCTACATGCTATACAAAGCTTCAAGTCGCTTCAAATTACCCCAGATGTAAAGGACTGGAGCCAGGTGAAGTTTGCGCCCACTTTGTTTGAATGTACTGTGAAAAAAGCTGTGACTAAGCTGGAGCATTCCTTCATGGAGAAGAAGAAACTGCTGACTCCACAGGCTGAGCTGAAGAGGCTGCAGCAGTACGCCGTAGATGTGACCTTTGACCCGGACACCGCTAGTCCGTGGCTAACCCTATCTGAAGATCGCAAGCAAGCTTTTGACCGAGGAAAGAAGACTGCCGTTTCGTACAACCCAGAAAGGTTTTCAGATTTCTTGTGTGTTCTTGGCAAACAGGGGTTCACTACTGGCAGGTTTTACTATGAAGTTCTGGTGAAAGGAAATGCAAACTGGGATGTAGGTGTAGTTAAAGAATCGATTGATAAAAAGAACAAAAACTTCTTGTGTTCAGAGAATGGAACTTGGGCGCTTATGTTCAGAAGAGGGGATACGTACACGGCCAGTGCTAGTCCCAGGGTTGATCTGGTGGTGAAATCGCGTCTTCAAAGACTCGGAGTGTTTGTTGACTACGAGATGGGTCTGGTTTCGTTTTACGACGTGGAAACTGCAGCTCATCTTTACTCCTTCACCAACTGCAAATTTTCTGGGAAACTCTATCCCTTTTTCAGTCCTGGGAACAGTGTAAATGGGATTCCCTCGGCTCCTCTGATCATCAAACCTGTTAAAAAAGTGTTTTAATTTGCTCTTTTTTTAATGCATGATTTTGTGGTTGAAAAAAAAATTACCAGTTGATTTCTTGTTGCTGCACTTTTGATTTTAGTGTAAAAAATGCCAAAATTCATACTAATATACTGTTTAAAGCTGTGAAGGATAAATTGTACATGTTGAAAGATGACTTTGTTATATTCAATTTCCATAATGCGTTCAGACACTGATTCAGTTCAGATACAGCTAATGAAAAGACTATAATCTTTTTCAATATTCTGTCTAAAGAATTCAAATGTTCTCTTTTTACCTGATTTATAATTGAAAAACAACGTTATGTTTTGTTCTGCGTTATTGTCAGTACCTCCATACCTTGTTTTGTTTGGGTTTTTTTTAAATTTTTTAGATAAATTTGATACTGTACCTATAAATGGCGTACTGATTTTCATTCCCACTTGATTTATGGCTCTGTATGATTCAAAATGTTCTCTACCATTCCTCTCATTAATTGACCTAATCAATATATTGGTAGTTTTCAGATAACAGATTCACCTAACCATAGCATGGTTAGTTGCTTTACATTTGTGATGCTGCAGGACACAGGAGGAACACTTTTGGCAAGACAACTCAACAAAAATATACTCTAACATATTTCTGGTAAAGATTCATGTATATGGACCAAATATTTAAAAAGGATTTTTTTTTTTTTTTCACAATATCAGGTTTTCAAAAATACTGAGTAGCCATGTTATAAGAATGCAAATAACTGAAAATGGTTTATAAATGACATTGAAAAACTAAAATCTATACTAAAGTCTATAAATTCCATTCCTTGTGTAGGCTATGTATAACAGCTTTTTATTGGGGTGGTTTTCTAATGATGCCAATAGAATCAAAATAATAAAACAATAAAGCAGTTATAGTTCAAAACATTGTCGGTATCTGACAGTTTCCTAAGTTAATGTAACGGTTTCACTTTTAGCACTTTCTACGCATGCGCAAAATTCCACCTGAAGACTCCGCTGGAGCCGTAGTCATGGCAACCGGTGTAACTCAAATCTTGACTTTTAGCCTAGTTTCTCGCTTCTAAACTTATTTTAAACTTTGATAAACTTTACACGGATGTCATTCTATTATAAGTGAATGCAGCTACAGCCGAGTGAGCCTGTGTCCCGGCAACATGCTGCCCACGGTTGGACCGGTCGTGTCGGTGATCACGGAGCGAAGTGACCGCCTGAGAGTGGCTCTGCCCGCGGAAGAAGAGCGCTCCGGAGCCGGTGTCCTAGAGCATTCCCACGGTTCCAGATACGAGGGAGAGTTTCTAAACGGGTTGAAACAAAAATGGGGAGGTAACACCAGATAAAACTCATTATTAAAACAAAAAAATAAATAGTATTTTCTTAAGGAAATAAGCTAGCCAGTATTCTCAGGTGGATAGGCTAGCTTCATACCAAATCTAAGCCATTATTAAAACTGTATAACAATTCAATTAATACTTTTACTTGTGCACTGCGTAGCTTTTCTGCTAGTCTACCACATACTTGTCTCCATGCAGACTTCATGTGAAAGTTTCCAAAGTATGGCATTAAACTTATCTGTGATGGATTTATTCAATCACAGATGTTACTGTTGCCCCCAAAAAACTTGAAAAACATGCATTCTCCCTGTGAGCAGGGTCTCTTCTCCAGAGATCTGACTTCTAATGTGTCCTTGTGGTGTCACCTGTTTGTCATTTGGATAATTTCAGCCCTGGAATTGACAGTCCAAACTGAGCTAAAGGTAAAAGGTAGATGTTAGCTTGAAAACTACCATGGTATTACAAGGTGGAACAGAGCATTTTGAACTTTGGAGATGTAGACAGACTAATAAAGGATTACTCAAACATGCATGAATAAAACAAAATACAATTCCAGGTATGTTTCTGAAGAGGTAATAACATTATAATATGGTTTAAAGCTCACAGGGGTCAATTTTGTGTAATATAGGACCTTTAAATACTATAATTCCTCTCATCCAGGCGCCAGGGGAAGAGCCAGAGCTGGGATGTTGAAACTGTCTTGTCTGTGACCCGGAGAGGTTTTGGTCCTAAAGGTCACCTGGTGGTCAGTTCAGCGCAGTTGATCCTCCAGGCATCTTGTGGAGAGAGGAGGGCTGTGGCTCAGATTCTGTGCACTGAGCTGGTTCATCTTGAGGTAGACGACACACGCAGATACACAGCACTGATTGCTGCCACGGTAACCTACTGCTTTCAATTATTTGCATATAGTTGTTGTCTTAGACTTGGACAGACTTTATTGATCCACAAGTTAACAGCTACCTTTTTCAGTAGTGATTGGCAATTCCAGGTCTGAAATCACCCAGATGATTCTAGTGAAGGTGCATGGAGTTTAAAAATACAGTATTACCACATAACATTACAAGGTGAAGTGGTTTCTGTTTGAGAGAAGAAATCGGCCTAAATATGTAAGGTTTGTGTGTTAAACATGTGTGAATGAAACAAAACAGAATTCCAGGTATGTTTTTGATGAGGAAACAACATTATAACATAGATAGGGTAATCAGACACCCATATTTACCCAGGACAGTCCCAGTTTTGAGCCCTGTGTCCCCTGTCCCAGCAGACTTATCCAAAACCAGTGATTTGTCCCAGTTTTACTCAAGAAACTGGTGTCCCTATTTTTGACCAATTTGTTATCTCCCAACAGTAAAGAGAGGCAAAAATTGCCATTTGTTTAGGTAAAATATAGAAAAGCTGCTTAAAAATGACCAAAACAGAAAGAAAATGTGACTATACTGACTCACATGTTAGTCATGAATAAGCCGAGTGCAGAACAATTCGTTCTCCTTAATTACACACTCGATTCCCAATTTAATTATTACCATCCACCCCAAACCGAGAGTCCCAGTTTTATATTGAAAATCTGGTCACCCTAAACATAGATACAAAAGTAGCATAATATTATTCAAGTACATTTTGAGATAAAGAGTAAGGAAACAAATCTCACGGGGCCTTCTTTGTAAACCTTTCTTTTCTATTTTTCCTTTCAGCACTTCTTTGCTCAAATTCTGTCTGTACTACAGCCTCAATGAAGCTGATGAGCTGCGGTCGCTGTGACATGTTTTTTTTTTACTGCTCTAAACGTGTAAAGTCAAGTCCTGGAATGACAGCCACAAAGATGAATGCACCCTGGTCAGCCAATGCAGAGCCAGAAGTGAGACCAGTCTGCAGAGAAGAGCAATGTTATGTCTAGAGCTGGGTGTCACTAAAAACTTGCCAATATGATACATATCTCAATACACAGGCCACGATACAATACATTTTTCAATACAGTGGACTTCTGATTCCATATAATTTGATACAATATATTTCAAATTGATTTGATATGGTTTTGTGAAAAATAAAGGCTAAACAAAGGCTAAATCATAGATACTAAAAGTCTATTAAGGCCACTAAGTTAATATAAAAACACCCATTTTACTCTTGGCAATATATTGATACAGCAACCGACAATATCAATACTGTATCATCAAATTAAACAATATGATATATCAGTATTTCAATATTTTTGCACACCCCTAGTTATGTCGACTGTTTTTAAGTTTAGATTAATAACTTATATTTAAATGGACATAGCTAACCTTCTAGCTGCTGCGTTCCAAATAGAAAGTGAGTACGGGGGCGTTTCCAGCTCCATCTACTTAACACTGAAAATTGTCACCCCTTCCCCTGTAACTGTTGCTGTCCACTTTATACAGTCTATGGTCAGTACTAATATCACATAACTTATAAGGGTAGTGTGGCCCTATGCCACACAAGCCACTAGGGCGCCAATTTTAAAATGCATTTCTGACTCGTGTTTCCATATAAATGAGCCTAAAACCTCCAGTGAAAGCTCAAATATAATAAATAAATAAATCCTTTATTGTAGCATGAGACGTGAACACGATCAAAAGACTGTACCTAATCAATTTGCAACATCTGGTATTGCTAATTAGAGGTCTTAAATAGGTAGCAACTCACATAAAACAAAGACATAGCGCCATACAGTGGCCGGATGTGCATTTTGGCTGCTACAGAATTAATGGGCTTTTGTCTGACCCCAGGGGATGCTGCTGCTGCTGCTGCTGCTGCTCAGAGGAAGAAGCTGAAGTCTCAAAGAAGAGCCACATGTAAATCTGTCAAGAGAGCTCTGGATGTCACGTACAAACCCAAGATTATCTAATTTATGGAGTTTGACCTGAAAGCCAGAGCCCTGAACAGGACAGAGGCGACTGTGGAGGAGCAGCCCAAAGGAAACTACAGCTGCATCTGAGAGATAAGAATGTGCCTTTAGCTATCATAACTAACCTATAATCTTTCGTCTGGAAACAAAACTAAATAATAAATATTCAAGGTTTTTAGCTGATTTACATTTAATATTTTGTATTTAGGCGAGTCGTATTTACATCAACTATCTACAACGGAATAATTTGTGACAGAAATGAAATGGATTGTGCATTTCCTTGAAACCGTGTTACTGCTCTGGCAACCCAGCGCAGCAATCACACGAGCAGCTGAAGTACACGGTTAGCTTTGCTAGCACTTGTCATGCCAGTTTGAGCTGTATTTACTGAACCCGGAGAGTGTTCTGCCTTAACTTGTGGACATATCATGGAGACAGCCGCATCCGTTTGACATGTTGGACCTGTTTCACAAAGTCACCTGAGAAGAGCGTGAATTTACGGACCCACACGAGTGTCTCGCCCGGTGTCTCGGTCTGATCAGCGCACAGCGGCGTCCACCAGCGGCGGCGGACATTTCCTGCGTTATGGAGAAGGTACACATCATATACTCTTCCACGAACTTTTCATATGAACTTTAGCTCAGAGTGAAGGTACAGGTCTGCCGTGGAGGCCACAGAAAACCCTCAAACACGAACTCTGGGGCTAGCGTTAGCTTTGAGCTAGCCACACCTGCCAGTGCCCTGTGCCATCAGCTCAAGGCCAACCGGCATCTCCCCGTGCCCGGCTGCTCAGGGAGAACCATGGGGAAGACTGGCTCCTCCATCACACACTGAACATGGAGGACTGATTCAGGAGAGACTGAGCAGATGTGTGGGTTTAGTCACTCACGCCCTGCACATACATTGTATACTGGCTAAAGGACAGGGCAGTCTGAAGTCTGTTGGCATCATACAGTCTATGACTGGCACAGGCATTTGCACAAGTATTGCCTAATACTGTGGTTAACCAAGAACACTGGGTGGTTTCTAATGGCCAGACATATGAAGTGACAACAATTTTCCATGTAGCTTTGAAAGTGAAAATCTGTCAGCTTAATTGTCTAAAGAAAATGTTTTAAGTAGTCACTGAATATAAGGCATTTATTTTCCTTCTTTCCACAGGCAGACTTCCTAAAAGGACTTCCAGTTTACAACAAGAGTAACTTCAGCAGGTTTCATGCAGACTCTGTTTGTAAAGCGTCTGTAAGTTTACAAACCCTTATAAATCTTCATTCATTAGATTAATTTGCCATTGTGTTGAAATGTTCATTTTCTTTGTCTGCAGAATCGAAGGCCTTCAGTTTACCTGCCAACACGAGAATACCCCTCCGAACAGAGTAAGTGCCCGACTGTGAAGTGACTGAGCGTTGGGAAAGTCTTGTCAACATTGTACTGATGGAGATGTGTGTGTTGTAGTTATTGTGACGGAGAAAACCAATATCCTGCTGCGTTACCTTCATCAGCAGTGGGACAAAAAGGTAATTTCAGTTACACATTTTCTCACCATTCAACTGTCTATTTTATGGTATTGTGGTGTATTTCTGTTACGTACAAAACCATAACTGTAGGGTTGGTAAGTTTTAAGTTTATTATAGTAGTCAACGAGTCAGCAGTTATTTGTTTAATTAGTCAAGTAGTCAAATTTCTACAGTACATTGAGACTGAGAACACATTTCATTAACCAAATAAAGGTTCAAATAGGGTGACTGAGGGCTTTTGAGAGATTTGAGAATATTATATTACAAGTCTATTAGTGATGGAAAATCCCAAATTGTTTATTCAGTTTTGCCATTTAGATTTAATTATGCTGCTGTCTTTGTTATGAAAGGTCTTTTTTCATGTGTTTTAGAGTCTGTATAATCCAGACAATGATTACCACTGTCAAAATGATACATTAAAAAAAAACAAAAAAAAAATCAACTAGTCAGTTATTCTGATTAATTGTAATGATCTTGGACAGCTAATGTCACGCAGGCAGTAAAGATATAGTATGTACGCATATATATTGGAAGATTTTGCCATATTGGTTTTCTCAAGCAGTGTTTCTCTGGCTCTTCACAGACTTTACTGAGAGAAAACAGTTATTAATCTAAAACAAGAAGATCAGGATTGCCGGGAAATTGACTGATTGACTGATATTTGGGCAGTTAAAGAATTTACATTTGTTTACATTGGCTACAAGAACCAATATGGCAACAGGTGTCAATGGCAACAGGTGTCAAAAAACTATTGTCTTTACTCTTTTATAGAATCATTGTGAATTTGTTGGTTTGCCATCCATATAGTGAAAGTGCTCTAATGCTCTAATCATTTGTGTTAAACAGAATGCAGCAAAGAAACGAGAGCAGGAACAAGGGGAGGGGGACAGTCCAGCGCCCCCACGGAAAATCGCCCGGACAGACAGCCAAGAGATGAATGAGGACTCATAAGTGTGTGTGTTTATGTGTGTATGCGCGTGTGTGCGTGTGTGGAGGGCATGGCCAATGTAAACACAACAGAAAGTAGAATTGTACCTGAATCATATGTGAACTATTGTGTAGAAATATTTTAAGTCTTATTGTTCATAGCAGATACTTGAATCGCTGGGTACCTTTTTCAATCCAAAATATCCGTGATGCAACCAACCCGGAACAAACAAAATTAAATTGACGTCTCCTTGTTGTAATTTCAACTGGCAAAATGTTTGAAATCCATTTTTAATTGTGTTCATTTGATTAGTTTCTCATGTTATGTGGCCCAATTGTATTAACAGATACTGCGGTCAATCAAGAAGCAGATTAATTACACACACTATTTAATTAGTTTGACATCTCTACAGCGTGGGACACTATGGGTGATGTCACACTCCCACACTAAGTCCACTTCTATATACAGTCTATGCGGAAAACATTTTAAACGACAAAACCTTACTAGTCCTTAAACATAAAAATATGACAAATTAGTAAAATAAACACATTCAAATATACACCTGTACCCAGCTCTAGTTAGTTTTGATCCTATGGACAAGTATAAGAAAAGGTCTATTCCAAGTTGTGTCTTATGTTTAGGAGAAATCAACAGAATGGCATTAGACTGTAGTCTGTAATCTGTAGTTTACATGGGGCCATTCCCAGCGTGAGAGCTGTTGATGTCTGTGCTGAGCTGTACGTGAAGTGACCTCATGGTGCGTAGATGTGGAGTTGGATACCTTCAAGTGATGGTTCAGGTTTTTAATGGAGAAAACAGCTGGTAGTTTGGACTGTTTATTTAATTGGCTAACAAACAGCTGCTGAGCTTATATTTCTGACTAGATTTTGGTAAAAAATTTACTGGTAATTGTTTTTTTCTGATTGGTCAAAGTGCACATTGTAAACAAGTCCAGGAGCATTTCAGAAGACCGTTTTCTTTTTGTCATCTTCTATTCTAAAACTTTTTAGGAATGTCAATGATCTGTGATTTTCTTCAAATTAATACCTAGATTCAACTAGTTTTAGTATTGATTAAAGGTGCATTGTGTAACTTTTCTGGTGGAGGATCTGTCACCTGCTTGTTTCTATGGAGATGCTATTGCTCTGCCTGGAATGTTCCACAGTATGACATTAAACATCTCTACATTATATTTATTCAATTTGGGTGGTTTTACAGCTGAAAATACTTAGAAAAACAGGCGCTCTGATTGTGAGCTTGGTCACCTCTCCACAGATCTGACCTGTAAAACCCAATGTATGGTTGTGTGTCAAATTGTCTGCATCGCGGCGCTACTAGTTCAATAACTACACATCAAACCGACGCAGACAATAAGGGCTGTGATTGGTCCTCTATACTACCGCTCTACATTTCCAGTACTCCGCTTTCCCACTTCATTTTGTAAACACGAATACCATTTCTAAATCCTTGCCTCCTAGCGTTGTGGTGTTGTGAAATACTTTGCAGTGCATAGACCTTGACACAGATCCATAAATCAAAAATGACAGCAACAAGGCGACAGCAGCAATGTGCGTTGTGTCGACGCAGAACTATAATTCGGCCTTAACTTGATCTGGTTTGGTCTCCATGAAAATAGAAAGGTTTAATATCATACTGTGAAACATTCCAGACTAAGTAATAACATCTTCACGGAAAAAAGCATTTGACAGACCCTCCACCAGAAAAGTTACACAATGCACCTTTAATATCTTTTACCTTTTACCTGTTTGCGCACCAGACCCATTCAAAAACCCGAGCCATCACTTTTGATTCCTGGTTCCTGACTCGTTTATCCCGCTGTTGTGCCGAGAACCCTGTTTTGTGCAAATATGACTTTTGTTACTGTTTAATTTTAATAATATTATTGTTTATGTCGAATGATTGATGATTGGCAATGAGCTTCCTGCCAGCCACAGTGCCCGCCCCTTTGGTTTCACTGCCCCCTCTGTCTGCAAGCAGTACTACAACATCATTTCACACAACTCAATATCAATGCACTGTGAAGAAGAGCACAAAATAGTAGAAATAACTTCCGTATTAAACCCAATAGTTGTGTATGTGTGTTCAATATGCATAGACTATTCTGCTATGTGCTTATGGGGTAACTGTTGTGCTGGGGCTTAAAGTAGTCTTTTATATTTTACTACCACAACAACTGTCCTGATTAGAACACACATCGTAGGACCGCCCGGGACCTAATGTGACTCGTCGAATCATTAGTTGTGGTTGTGTATTTAAAATTGGTTTGTTTTTTTCCCCATCCAGAATGTTAGTTACTGGTTGGTACAAAGTAAAATATGTCCAAATTGTTTCATATCAAACTTGCTGCGTTTTCAAGGTTTAGCAATAGGTTGTGTTCAAGGTGTATTAGAATTAACGGAGAGCAGAGAGCAGGGGCACTGTTTTTGGAAGAAATATCCAAACTGAAAACCTACAAATGTGTAACTTGCAATGTTTACGTTATGGTTCTTGAAAGTCTTTGAAATTTAGTAATACCGCAGTTTTTTTAAACTTAAAAGTTGTGGAAAAACAACTTTCGTTCATGTGTATAGACCCGGTAACCACAGAAATTTTAAAGGTGTGCTATGCAGCTTTTTGGTTTGGAGGCCCGTCACCTGCTTGTTTCTATGGATATGTCATTGCTATGCCTGGAATGTTCCACAGTGTGACATTAAACAGCTCTACTTTACAATTTTTCCTTTACAGTTGGTTTTATAACTCAGAAATGCCAAGAAAAACAACAGGCATTCTGACTGAGCGGGGTCACCTCCCCACAGATTTGACCTGTTATTCTGTCTGGTTTGGTCTCCATGAAGATAGAAAGTTTTAATGCCATACTGTGAAACAGTCCAGACGACGCAACATCTCCACAGAAAAAAAGCATTCGACTGACCCTCCACTGGAAAAGTTACACAGTACTGTACACCTTTAACCATAAACCACATCAACAAATCCACATTTTGACAGTTAAAAGGCAAATTCAGCCACAGATTTCTCACCTGCTCTCCAGCTCAATAAAGTACGTGACATGAACCCAACCTATTATTGATTTATATTTGCTAAGATTCATGCAGTGTGGACCTGGACAGTCAAGAAATGTCCAAAAATGTCTCCATAAAAGTAACTGACCTTCTCGTATCGGTGCTTTGTTTGTGGTGTGCTCTCAGCCTCCTTTCATGTTTACAGTGGTGAATTTTAACAAACTTCACTTTCTAATTAAAGGCAAATCTAGCAGTTACAAATGTGAGTCAGTATAACAGTTTATCCAAATCAGATGTCCGTGTTGTGAAAAAAGGACAAGTCTCACATTGGATATTACATTACTCTGCATTTTAATGTGTCTCTAAAGGTTAACGAGAGAATTCGATGTTATTAAAGCGTGAAAGGACCGGTCCGCTACCTGCTTAGCTCAGTGAAGATGTTATTGCATTGCCTGGAATATTCCACAGTATGGCATTTATCTTCTTACCTATCTCTTTTTTTATTGTTATTATTAGTGTTTTATTGCTTAAAAAATACTTTGACAAACATGCATTCTTACTGCAAGTGATCTGATCTGTAATTTACTTGTTTTCGTGGCGATAAGTTTAATGTCTTACTGTAGAATATTTTTCGATTTTCATGCTTTTATTTGATTGATTTGGAAAAAATAAAATGTTGAAGCCCCATGAGGCAACTCGAGTTCAAGCTAAAATAAACTAAATCGGATGAAGGGAAGCAGGTAGCGGACTCTCCATCAGAAAAAAATTCCGTAGTGCGTCTTTAAAGCATGTTTTGGTCAGACTGTTGAACACACCCGAAGCCTTGCTCTGGTTCAGTTCATGTGTGAGGACAGGAATCTCTTTTGGCTTTGCTCAAATAAAACTGGATACAAACTGCCCTTGTGTAATGAATTTTGAATATTCATGAAAACTAATTTGAGCATTAAACATTTAATATTGTAGTATTATGTTTTGTTTATAGTGTTAAGTTTTTTTTTTTTTTGAAGGACATTTGTATACACATTCAGAAGTCGGAGTAGTGTTATCGTACTATTTTAAACTGCCTTTTTATACTAAGGAAAAGGCTTGAAACATAATGATGCCACAATTACGATAAAGTTTTTAGTCAACAGAATTGCATTTTCAGCTAATTACAGTTGTCTAAAATATTGAAAATCAGATGCTAATCAATACTAAAACTAGTATCGAAACTAGATACTCATTAGAGCTGGTATCGATACTAAAAATCACATTCACAGGACAGAAATGAACCTTTTCTGAATAGTTTTAGAATGATCTTGAGCTGTATTAGAACAAATATAAGAGCATGTAGACTAGTATACGCCCGTGGATCACTATGGAACCTATTTGGAACACTGATGGATTACACACATATAAGAGCACATGGGAATAGAAAAGAAAGTACTATGATTTAATGCTGAAAATTACATTCTATTTCTAAAGAAATATTTTTATTATTATAGTACTATTAGAATCAGTATTGAGTATCGAGTCTTTTCCTTAGTCATGACAACACAATTTTTGATTTACATCTAGTTCATTACAACTATTCAGGTAAAATCAAAATAAGTTTAATTAATTATCAAATTTGTATACTATGTTTCAGTGACAGAGTTAGCAATTTGGGAGCCCTAGGCAAACTTGAGTTTGGGGCCCTCACTAAAATGCACAGTTTTGTTTTGTTTAGTTTTGTCTGTTTTTCCTCATTGTTCTTGAGACATGCACATCTCTATTTATTTGAATTATGGTGGATTGGGAATTTGTCTTATCAATTTGGTCACCTACTAGATAACCAGAACTGAAAGTAGTTTTATTTTTGTGCTAGTACAGTTACATTTTTGTTTACATCCATTACATATGATTATTATTATTATTATCTTTCTTATGATTATTGTTTAAAAGTAAAATACTCTCATTTAATGTCAGATTGAGAGAAATTCAGATTGCTCTGAGGCCTGGGCCATTAGTGGCACTGAGGGCAATTGGTTGGGGGCCCCTCCAGGTTTGGGGGCCCTAGGCAGCCGCCTACTTTGCCTAATGGTAGCACCGCCTCTGCTAAGTTTAATATCCATTAGTGCAGACCTGGCATTGTACAGTTCCCGGGCAACATATGGCCCTTTGGTTGACTCTGACCGGCCCATTTAATATAATTTGGAATTACAAAATAAAATATTTTATAATTTAATTCATACATGGATTAAAGCTGTATTGCTTTTATTTTAGAGGTGCTTAGTTATAATATACACTCTTACCAGTCTTACCACCTCGTCAAAACAATGCTATTTACTGCTTTTTATAAAGAAATACAATTAATATTATGCAGAATTGGCCTGGCTCTCCAAAATATTTTCTGTTTCTCATGTGGCCCCATTGAAAAAGCAATTGCCTACCCCTGTGTTAGTGTCTTTGTATTCATAATTTTTGACAACCCTGTTTGAGGCAAGGAAAACAGACAAAGCGCTGTAGTTTGAAACGTTTTATTAACTATCAGGTCTTACAAAAATATGACAAAATAAATTAAAAGAAATAAATAGTCCCATTTCCCAATTTTTCATTTTAAAGTACATTATAATACAGTGGTACATACATTGGAAGAGCAAATGGATGTCTGCTTTGTGAGGCTTTCTCAAAGTGTCTTGTCCCTATATATTATAATGTAGCTCTGTTCACCTAACACCCAAAACTACTGTCACTTTTCACCCATTTCACATTATTTTTTACAATCTGAAAAGCTCCAAGCCTAACAAAAAGCAGATGCAATTATTGAAAGTTCAAATACCTGTGCTTTGTCCAAAAACACATCTACAAAGTTAAACAGGGATGCCCTTTTTCATAATAAACACAAATAATGACATTTTTACCATGGTCACAGACAGTAATGGTGGTTTTAACTAGAGGTGAGCTAAGTAACAATACTATAGTGCTTTGGAGTGTCACAGTTTGGATACTTTTAGCAATACTTTTTTGTGGTATCTGTATCTAGGTAATTATGATCATGATTTCCACCTTTATTAAAAGGTCCTTTATTAAAAAAAAACTGACTCTTGTGAGCTTTAAGTCATGTTATAACGTTTCCTCTTCAGAAACATACCCGGAGTTGTGTATTGTTTCTCATATGTTTCAGTAACCTTTTATTATAAGTGTTTACATCTCCAAAGCTCAAAATGCTCTGTTTTAATTTGTGATGTCATGTAGTGGTAGTTTCCATGTTAGAATCTACCTTTTACCGTTGAGTAGAGATTGATAATTTCAGAGCTGTTATCTAAATGATTTTAGTGAAGGTGTGTAGACTGTAAAAACACAGTGGAGCAACGTGTATATGTATTTATGTGTTACACTGTATGTGTGCATGTATGTATGTATGCGTATATGCATGATATGTGGGTATATACATGTGTATATATATTTTTTATTTATATTTACTTCCCCCTGTTCCCTATACTTATTTACTTACTTTACCTATCACTTGATCTGCATTTATGTATGTATGTATTTAGTACTGCATGTATGTATGTAGTATTGTTTGTATGTAGAAATGTATGTAGTATTGTATATATGTACTGTTTGTATGTATGTATGTATGTATGTAGTATATTCGTACATTATTGCATTTTTTCTTTTTTTTTTCTTTCTATGACATCTGCTTTATGTGCGCAAAAAAGTGAAGCAGTAAAGCAGTTCCTGTATTATCACATGACATCACAAGTTGGAACAGAGTGTTTTCTATTTGAGAGACAAACTAAATACACAGGATTTGTGTGTGAATGAAACATGTGATTGAAACAAAACACAACTCCAGGTCTGTTTGTGATGAGGAAACAACATTATAACATAGATCGGAAAATAGCGTAATATGGGCCCTAACTTTTCTGCATTCGTATCTTTACTTTTGAACTCCGATCTAAAAATAAGACTTCTCTCAAATCTTAATTTTATGATTCCAAACACTTTTATCATTCCTGTGCATGATTAGACGGCTTCTAGTCTAAGTCTAGTTCAGTCTTAAACATTTTGTGAAAACTGAAACTAATCTGAAGACCAAAGACTGCACGGGACAAATACAAATACTGCTAACCACATAAAGGCATGGTCCATCATGGCTCCTTATTGCATTTGGAAAAAAATAGAGATTTAAAAAAAAAAAGAAAATGCTTGAGAACTGGGGAAACAATAAATGAAATATTAAAACACAGAAAAGAAATGTAAAGATCTTCACACAATATTGCACAAATTATACATAAGAAATTCACAATTTTTTCATTTTCTTTGACGAGACATAAGCTTAGAAATTTGATATGACAAAAAAAAAAAAAAAAGCGATAAAGTAAAATATCTTGATAATAAATTAAAGATGCACAATGTAACTTTTCTGATGAACAGTATTCCAATTTCTTGTCTTTTGCTTTGTCTGGAATGTCCCACAGCTCGGCATTAAACTTAACCATGGAGACTAACAGCTGACACCGCGAGTTACAGGTCAGATCTGTGGAGAGGCGACGCCGCTCACAGTAAGAATGCATGTTTTCAAGGTATTTTGGGCAATAAAAATGTAAGAAAACTGCACTGTGAAACATTTCAGACAAAGTAAGCCATAATATCTCCACGGAAGCAAGCAGAAAAGTTACACAATAAACCTTTAAATAATGTAGCGTTCATTTTAAGGATAAGGATTTGGAAAACGGGGCTGAGTATCTAACAAAATAGCGTACACAGAGCACATCCTGTAGCTAATACAAGTAAAATTTTCATAATACTATTGACAATTTAACATCACACCAGCCCAGCCTAGTCTCTTCTATGGCATCTTTAGACAAAATGGTAAAATACATGGATTCGTCAGTTACTTCGAGACATTCGTTTTGTACCAAATACACAATGCATAGAGTTGGACTACAGATTAACACAGGACTTGGTGTTCTACAAGTTTCAATAATATTACACACTTATTTTTATTGCAAAAACCAATGCCAGTGGTAATGTGCGATGACAATGCATAGTTAATGTCCCATCTTTCCCCAAAAACTACAGTGACGGTGGCCTCAAGAAGTCAAAATTAAAACACTATTCTTTTTGCGCAGCTGTTGGACCCAGTCTCCTGCGCCCTCTGCTGACCACCAGAGCACATGACACACTGTTTTAGAAGAAATACAGTATGTTCAACTTCCAGACAGAAATCTCATTAACACTGTAGAAGTAAAAATAGAACTTTGGTTAAAAAAGTGAAATTATTAGCACTGCAAGAAGTAGAAAATAAGGCGAAACATAAGTTATAGCAAATGTGTTTAAAAAGCTTAAGTGGACGTGACGATTTTGAGATCATTTTGAGGGATTCTATTGTGAGATATTGAAGCAAAGAAACAAAATACATGTTTCTGTCATGACATTTAAGACTATGTACGTTCACACTGGTTTTAAAAGTATCTGAGATCAGATTTTATTATTCTATTATTTGTTAATTGTGGTCAGGGCTCATACAAATCAGTTTTGAGATATTGAACTTATGCATTTCCTGACAGCCATATCAAATTTAAAGGAACTGTTTGTAAGATATTGATTTTAACTTTCATGAACTTGGCCCAACAGTGTCCCCTCATAGAAGATAAACAAACAAATCAAATCTAGATTTTGTTGATTTACTCTTAATTATAAAAACACTGAGAAAGATGTGGCATTTTTATTCTGTTAACGTTACTGTATTTGTCTACTTGATGTCTGTTCCACTTGTGGGACAATTAAGTTTATCTTTGGATAATCGTCTAAACATAACTAATCAGAAAGCAGAATGAGTCTCACATGTGTCTCTCCTTTGGGTTGTCAGTTTCAAAACTGAAATCCAGTTGCCTGATTCATCAGTCTGACCTCGCAGCTTTAGGATT